CCAATTAGTTTTTTTTAATTACTATTATTATATAATATTGAGAACATAAATTATTGACTTAATTGTGTTAGTTTAGGTTAGGTTAAGATAGGCTAAGTAGCTCCCGGAACAGAAAGACAAGAGCTACGAGGTGAGATTAGAGGCATTAAATATGCCAAAACTAGATGATAAAAGAAAAACAGGTGATATGATCACTACATACAAAATAGTAATAGGAATCGACAAAATTTAAGGGGAAGAATTCCAGACACCTGTAATTTCAAGAACAAGAGATCATAGATTTAAACTAACTAAACAAAGCTGCCAAAGAAATATAAAAACATTCACTTTCACAAAAAGAGTGGTAGATGGTTGGAACAAGTTAGGTGAGAAGGGTGTGGAGGCCAAAACAGTCAGTAGTTTCAAAGCATTATACGACAAGGGTGCTGGGAAGACAGGACACAACGAGCGTAACTCTCATCCTGTAACTAACACTTAGGTAATTATATTTATTTTCATATACAATATACATTCTCACTTTGGTTTCCTGCTTTCATAAGGTGAGGAGACATCAACCCAGAGAAAAAAAAGATAAATAATATAAAACAAGGTAACAGATGTTAAATAATAAAACAGTAAAAATATCACTCATCCATTTATTTTATCATTCACAATACAGTACCAGAATATAGCATCACTGTACATGCACTCTCACAGTCAGTCATTGGCAGCAGTACCCCCATTATTTCATAAGACCAGGTTTAAAGGGCTCCTCGTGAATTAGTTTGTTAATTACATTCAAACTCATATACTCCCTGAAAATCACTTTCACCCCAACCTTTTCCCTTCCTATATTATATTCATTGTTTAATTACTTTCCAGTTCCTCACAGTCTCACTTACCAAGTCTGCTAACCTTCTTTCTCTCCCTCCTTAGCTACTCTCCAGTTCACTTGAATACACTTTTTACAAGTCTACCATTATACATTTGCTCAACAAACTTAAGCCATCTCAGTATACCCTCCTCAATCTTGCAGTTAATTGACTTTTGCACTCCACATTGCTCCATGTTGATTTCGTTCCTATGCTTTCCTACACCACACATGCTATTGAGATTATAATTTTTTTCTGATCTAACTCCTAATTTTTTAAAATTGATTGTGTTCAAGGAAAAATAGACAAGTTCGTGCAGGAAGTGCCGGACCAGCCGGGCAGTGGTGGATATTTGGGCCTGTGGGCTGTAGCTTAGTCCAAGCAACAGCCTGTTGGATTAAGTTATCACAAGTCAACCCTGGCCATAGGCCAGGTTTAGGGAGTAGAACAACTCTCAAAACCCAATACCGTACAAGTATAATTCTGGTATACATCATTGTCTTGCAAACATCATAAGATTTTGCACCACCACTAATCTCATGACTGTATATATATTTCTATCCTGTTTTTCTTTACTAGGGCTTTCATTACACCAACCACTTTCCTGACCGACCCAACTTTAACTTGATTATATAAATTCCTATTTTTAGCACTTACGCATTCTAGGTAATTAAACTTCACCATTAATGTTTTTTCACACAGTTAAGTTCTCTTTCCACCACCATAACTTTGTTTTTATTTACATTCATTTGTCCCTTCTAAATGCAAATTGCACATGAAGCTTTGATCTCCATTGCAAATTTGGTTTGACATTGGTTTCACTAGACATTTTTATAATATGTCCAGTCTAAGTGGAGAATACATTTTTGGACTGGAACTTGAGAAAGCATGTATGAAATATACTTGAATCCACTAAAAACTTATTAGGCCTGTATTGGATAAATAATAAAAATCTTTACAATTATTTGAAATTACAGTAATTTATAGATACAGTATACAGTAGTACAGTAGATTTATTCTGACCTATTCTTTTTTTTTAAACTTACTAGAATCCATTGTGTTTATGCTTCTCCTCTGTGCCCACCAAGCATTATTTCCCATGTGTTACTGCTAAAGAATCCTGTGAATTCTGAAGAATTTCTACCAATCTTTTTATTTAAGTGGACTGTCACTGAGTAGGAAGGATGTTTATCACCAGCGTTAGTCAGACTGAAGTAGGTAAGAGGAAGAACAAAATATGTTATCTATTTATGAGAAAGAGGGAATTAGTGATGAGACTTGAGACTTCCTGTAACCAGCCTGGTGAAGGAGTATGGCACTGGTACCAGCACTGTTCCTTATGCAAAACAGTAGACATACAAAAGCAAAAATAGACGACACAATGTATGCAAACTCCATTAATACAGAGAAACCTTATTGTACCACTTGAGTCACTGCACAGAAGGGGCCTTTGAAATGCATTTTCAGTGAAACTATTCTTTTAAATGCCTGTCCTGGTGAAACACTGAATTTGAAACTCACTCCCAGGCAGCTGCCAGAATTATGCATACATGGAAGACATTTATTGTGTGAACTGTCACCCCTCTAAATGAATCTAAACATAATTCTACCTAAGAATATAAACATTCTTATCTACACTTTGTGATTGGAAAACAATGTTAAAAAATAAGTATTAAACGTAGAAATACAGTACGAAATCTCTAAGGGGTTATTAGAAATACAGTCTGAAACTGAAACATTGGAATGTGTTGGTGAGAATGACAAATGCAAGGTGCAAGTTGGCCATGTGTGTGAGAGGCAGAGTCAGGTGGTGGATGTGGGTGTCAAACTAAGACACCACACTTTTGAGCTTGTGTAAAGACTCTGCTTCGAGGATTGAGTTATTATTCTCCAAAACTAATAAGTATCTGTGTATAATTTGTTGTAGTACAGTACCTTATGTTAAAATAGTACAGGATTTAATAGATATTTAAGGATCTTTCTTGTGAATGTTCCAGCTGGTGTCTGGCAATTGTCTGATTCTAACCCCTTGTGTGTTAAGTATTAAGTTCCGTTTCTCTAACCACCTATGTATGTTTTACTATATAAAATGTCTGGTCAGTACCTGTGTCTTAACTAAGTTTTGGGTAACTGGCATATTCTAGCACCCCTTGTATTCTATGCTTGTGCATTTTCAGTTTCTGTGTATCTATTCTTTTGTTATTGTATACAGTAAGAATGAGTGACAAATAGGCACGAACACTTACAAAAAAAAGGCTAATGTTAGTGTCATATATTTTTTCTACATAAAAATGAACAACCTTTTATGCTCAAATGGGCAAAAAAAAACGACAAAAAACTAAATCCTTGTGAAGAATTCGGGCGGGATAGTCACTGGGCGCGATCGCCGTGCCGCCACGTGCTAGTCGGCCTGTACGTGTAATTACCTAAGTGTTCCGAGGCAAATTTTCCAAGCAAATCCTGCTCGTATTCTGAAAAATTCATATACAGGGACACTCGTATTCCGAGGTACCACTGTACTTTCATACAGATTGTAGATGCAACAGATTAGGTAATGGTGCAAAAGTCTCCAGGTGAAGTGCCCTACCTAGTTTCCATATCTAATAAGAGAGAACAACCACTTTCTACCATTCCTCAAGGATGTACTCAGTGTTCTAGATCTGGTTTTAAATATCTGTACTGTAATGTATTTAATAAATACTCATAAGGTACAAGACGGGAGATGGCAGAGCATCTCATAATACTGTAAATTAACATGGCTACTTGTTAACAGTCCCTGTGGTGCAGTGGTAAAGCACTCGCCTGGCGCTTCGAGAGCGCTTTTGTCTGGGTTTGTATCCTGGCCAGGAAGGAGTGACTGGGCACCAATCCTTAACTGTAGCCTCTGTTCACTTAGCAGTGAATGGGTACCTGGTTGTTAAACGATTTAGCAGGTTGTATTCCGGAGAAAATTAGGATTAAGAACCTGCCTGAAACGCTATGCATGCTAGTGGCTTTGCAAGAATTTAAGAACTCTTGTACAGGTATATATAAATAAAAAAAAAAGCCATCAAAACCTACTGAAACCGTGGCAAAGGCACAGAGCAGACTGAAGTTCATTAGGAGTAAAGAAATCATTGTACACGGGTCAAAACTGTGTGCCAAAGTCCAAATGGAGTGCTATAGCATGGGGTGTTTTGACAAGGAAATTGTGAAGGAGGTGAGAACCTTAGCTAATGATTGAGAAGTGGGAACTAAGTTTATTGTGACCAACACAGCTCTAGCAATAACAGAATCATGAAAATAAAGTACAGGTGCTGCATCGGAAATTCATTTACCCACAATCTTGCGAGTCTTCACCCAGATACTGGGAATAGGGGTGATAGCATAAACTCTCTAACTCTTCTGTTTAGCAGAACAAATGACTGCGGGTTACAATACAGATTTTTTTCAAATACAATGAAGAAATTTGCTGTTTTCTAGTCAATACTTCTTTGCTGCATACTTACAGCAGACAGTATAGGCATAGCTATAATTCCACCAAGGAACATTTTATTAAGCAAATAGATTGTTGGACCAGATAATGGAAAAATGGTCATAATTATGGACATAATCAAGGACATGCCAATCAAATTCAAAGTAAACTGAAGAAATGCAGAGAGAATATCAGTACCAGAGTTCACCCGAGTAATTTGACCAGTATTTAAAATATCCAGGGTGAAGAAAGAATAAAAGGTTCTAAAAAATGGGCAAGGGTAGTAGTAATGGAACTGCCTATATGTAGTGTATATCTAAGTTAAGGCCACCTAAAAGGAGTAACTGTGTAGGCAAAGGACCTACCAAATTAAAATGAACAAGAAATCAGAATATGTGGGTAATAAAGAAGACATGCAACTAAATGACTCCCGGAACTGAAGGACAAGAGCTACGAGGAGAGGTTAGAGGCATTAAATATGCCAAAACTTGAAGATAGAAGAAAAAAGGTAATATGATCACTATGTACAAAATAGTAACAGTAATCTATGAAATTGACAGGGAAAATTCCCAAGACCTGGAACTTCAAGAACAAGAGGTCATAGATTTAAACTAACTAAACAAAGCTGCCAAAGAAATATAAGAAAATTCACTTTTGCAAACAAAGTGGTAGATGGTTGGAATACATTAAGTGAGAAGGTGGTGGATTCCAAAACTGTCAGTAGCTTCAAAATGTTATATGGCAGAGTGCTGGGAAGACGGGGACACCACAAGCATAGCTCTCATCCTGAAACTACACTTGGGTAATTTACACACACAAAGAAATCTTGTAGATTAAAAGCTAAAGTTTAGATAAATTAGCATAAAAGCCATGTATATTCCAGTGAATAATAGAAATACCAGTATTCCAAAAGAACTGGAAGAGATGGACAGGAAATGTGTAAATAAAATTAATGACAGTCTATAAACAGAAACAATTAGTTACGATCGGTTAAACTCAGGATTGGGTGTAAGTAAGCAAAGAGGAATTGATTGGTAGGAGCAAAGATGGGCGACCAGTTATGTTCATAATTAGTTAGTGTGTAAATTAGTTACATGCATTTATGTGTGTTTGCTCAACTAGTTTTGTTTTGTTTGTGCTTAAAAAGGTATACAGTATTTTCATTTTAAAACCATTGTGGCACCAATTAATTAACAGATATAGAAAATTTTGTATAAAAACAACATACCAGTACTAAGGTCTACTTATAATTACAGTATCTAAATAAATAATTAAGGAATTCTGGGCTCTCATACTTGCTTACTCATGATACTGAATCAACAGTAGTTGCTGGATTAATATGCTCAAATTTCGGTGACATAAGGTATAATTTTTGTTGAATTTGTGTATACAGTACAGCAGTGATAAATTTCTTACCCTCTTCATTTGCAGCTTCAGTACTACTCTTATATGTACTAAGAAAGCTTTGTCAGTTTGGCACATGCATCATCTCGGGCTTTCTATTTATTTTCAATTAATGTCTGAAGCTGTAGGACTAGATTCCTTGCTGTGTGAAGAACAGTTTTGGCATCATGTCTCTCTGCCATTTCTGTTGAGGAAATAACGTAAATATTAACTAATGTATTTTATTATTTTTGAAAGTACAGTATATGTTGAAGTTGGCCTTTATGGTTGCAAGTGTGTGTGTGTGTGTAATTACCTAAGTGTAATTACCTAAGTGTAGTTACAGGATGAGAGCTACGCTCGTGGTGTCCCGTCTTCCCAGCACTCTTTGTCATATAACGCTTTGAAACTACTGACGGTCTTGGCCTCCACCACCTTCTCACTTAACTTGTTCCAACCGTCTACCACTCTATTTGCGAAGGTGAATTTTCTTATATTTCTTCGGCATCTGTGTTTAGCTAGTTTAAATCTATGACCTCTTGTTCTTGAAGTGCCAGGTCTCAGGAAATCTTCCCTGTCGATTTTATCAATTCCTGTTACTATTTTGTATGTAGTGATCATATCACCTCTTTTTCTTCTGTCTTCTAGTTTTGGCATGTTTAATGCTTCCAACCTCTCCTCGTAGCTCTTGCCCTTCAGTTCTGGGAGTCACTTCGTAACATGTCTTTGCACCTTTTCCAGTTTGTTGATGTGCTTCTTAAGATATGGGCACCACACAACAACTGCATATTCTAGCTTTGGCCTAACAAAAGTCATGAACAATTTCTTTAGTATATTGCCATCCATGTATTTAAATGCAATTCTGAAGTTAGAAAGCATCGCATAGGCTCCTTGCACAATATTCTTTATGTGGTCCTCAGGTGATAGTTTTCTATCTAGAACCACCCCTAGATCTCTTTATCAGAATTCTTTAAAGATTTCTCACATAATATATAGTTTGTGTGGGGTCTATGTTCTCCTATTCCACATTCCATAACATGACATTTATTAACATTAAATTCCATTTGCCAAGTGGTGCTCCATATACTTATTTTGTCCAGGTCTTCTTGAAGGGCATGACAATCATCTAAATTTCTTATCCTTCCTATTATCTTAGCATCATCAGCAAACATGTTCATATAATTCTGTATACCAACTGGTAGATCATTTATGTAGACAATAAACATCACTGGTGCAAGAACTGAACCCTGTGGTACTCCACTTGTGACATTTCTCCATTCCGTTACATTGCCTCTGATTACTGCCCTCATTTTTCTATCAGTCGGAAAATTTTTCATCCATGTTAGAAGCTTACCTGTCACTCCTCCAATATTTTCCAGTTTCCAGAACAACCTCATGTGGAACTCTGTCGAAAGCCTTTTTTTCATCTTTTGATTTGTTTCTGCAGGGGCCATTTACTTTGTACTCTGTTCTATATTTTGTTTTTTGCTGCATGTGTGTCTTTGACTGCTTTGTTTGGGAGCCAAACAGAGGTGCTGAGATTTTACTGGGGCTCACATGATTGTTTATATGACACACTGCCACCAGTTGTAACCAGGTTGCGCTTGGTGTGTCTGGCGAGTGGCCTGTGCCGAGGTTCTCTGCTTAGCTAGCTGTCTTCAAACCCTAGTAATCCCCTTGCAGGTCTTTGGTGTGGTTGTTTCAGCCTGTGGAGCCTGCATTTACCATATGCAAGTTTGAAGGGTGCTCATCATATTTGCTACCAGATGATGGTTATTCTCTTTGCCTCTACCATGCTGCAGATTTTCCCTGTGTGGTGGCAAATTATCACTTGCTCTATGTGCCTCTGTGAATGGGGATGGGGGTGCAGATTTTGGCTCTGGTTCCCTGGCAGGCCAAACAGAACTCCCACATCTGATGTGACTCAATTGCATGGCTCAACCTCAGCATGATTGATTCAGGGAGCCACTATGGCTCATCCAGAAAGAAGAATTTCATTATATTCAATGCTGGGTTTTCTATAGGTAAAATTGTTTTCTATTTGCCATTGTCAGGACTGGATGAATGTTAGGTTTATTGAGGTACCCCATGGACAACAGCTGACCTTCCCTAGGATGCAACTCACAACAGTTGCCTAACTTCCAGGCTCAGTACATATTTACTGATAAGTGAACAGACACATCAGGTGTAAGGAAACATGCATAAACTTCTTGCCCTGCTGGAGATCGAATCTGGGAATTTTTGGTTGTGAACTGACTGCACAGACCACTGCACCACAGGTCATCTAAATACTGTAATAATACTTTGAGTGATTATAAAGATTGGTAATTATTTTGCAGTTTTTCAGCACTTAATAATCAAAGAATCCTCTTGCATGATTCCTAAACAATTGCAACTGTTCTTGCAAAATCTGTCATTATACTTTAAATTATTGCTAAACAAAAAGATTTTGAATACCAAAAAAACATACCATTGAAGAATTTTATGATATCAGTGAAATCCATATTGTTATCAAGAATGATGTCTCGATAATATTCCACTAAGGCCAGGGCAATAAACAGGACAAAATGAGCTGAGGAAACATTCCGAGCTGCCCATATTGCTTCCCATACCATGAATACATCGTCATACACTAACTCTGAAAATAAAGAAAAAATTTACGTATATAATTCCTAAACCTGCTAAGTAGAAAAATTTAAGTGGCATACAATAATACTATACTGCACTGCAATGACAAAAACAAGAAAACTTGAGGAGTGTGTATAAAAAAAAAATAGGCTTAGTGTATGTAATGAAGATAGAGTGCTTGAAGAGGTTGTATAATGGAAATAAAGAATGCTTGAGCAGTGCATATAATGAAGACATGGGTGATTGATGAGTGTGTAAATGAAGATAAACAAAGGGTGATTCAAGTGTGCATAAAATAATGACAAAAGGGTATACAAGGAATACAATACAAATAAACACTTAAGAAATTGATAAATGAAGGTAAAGTGAAGTTGGTGAATGGGGACAATGAAGTTAAACTAAAGTCTAAAAGGTGGTTATGTTGAGGCTTGACCTCTGGGCTGCACACCTGTTTATAACTAACAACTCCCCATTGTGCAAGAAAATAATTAATCCCCCCCCCTTCCTGTCCCCCCCCCCCCCACACACAAAAAATGCATTCCATCCCTCTCACTGTTCTGAAATACGTTTATTTTCCCCCCCACTGCCATTTATTCACTGCTGCTCTCTGAAATAGGCTGAAATCTGCTGATGGTGTTGGCTTTTCCATTATAGTTCCTGACAAAACTGGGTACAATGAAGACAATGATTGAGGACTGGTATTATAAAAACAATGCTTGAAGACTGGGTACAATAAAGACAACTATTGAGGACTGGTATAATAATGACAGTGCCCGAGGACTGAGTACAATGAAAACAATACTTAAGGATTGGGTGTAATGAAGAAAAAGAAGTAGACACAATGAAGACAACAGAAGCTTGAGGAGTTGGTCCAATGATTATGGAGAGCAAGAGGAAATAAAAACTGCATGAGAAATCATTCATAATGGATAAGATAGATATATGAGATCACGAATAATATATTTGTTTTGACTGAATAAACAGTGTATTGAATGGCAAATGAAAGAATGAAGTGATTGGAGATGTGAAAAATTACAGAAAAATTGGTAGACAAAATAAACTGAGTATTTCCTCCATGAGGCATAATGATGGGTAATTAGGGATTGGTCTAAAGGGAAAAAGATTCTAACTACAACATCAATCAATAATTACAAACCTCTCTTAAAATCGAGGAGGAACCAGCGGTAGCAAAAATAGAAGTGGGTATAATCCCCATTTTGGTGCATAAGTTCAAACATTTCTGAATCCAGTATTTGAATCAGTGATCTGAGGGAACAAGACATGGTCATAATTACTTATGTAACAAGGGAGGTTAGAAAACGAGTCTTAAAAAAGTAAACATCTCAAAGACCTATATAGTACTCTTATTCAAGTTAACTTATGAAAGAAAAATGAATATTGTATACTGAAAACTCGTAAAATTTAAACAATAATTATGATTGTTTTAATAAATTCATTCACTGAAAAGACTGCAGTTTAAAAGTAATAATAAAAAGAAATTCTGATGAGTATAAGGCAAAGTTTAGTTAACCTATACAAATGAGAGAACATTCTTGTAAGAGTGACAAGCAGAACTATACACAATGAATGTATTCAACTACTATAATATTCAACTATTTGTAATATTCAATATTACAAATAAAATAAAGTATAGTACATATATGGAAATAAAGGGAAACATGAACAAAACCCAGGGCAACTAGAACTGACAATAACCACAGTGGCCCAAGTGATCAACAAATGACACTGACGACATGTTGAGGGTTAAAGAACTCAAAAGAAAGCAATCTAGGAGTGCTTTTGGATAGTAACCTCACCAAAAGACCACATCAAAGACACTGTGATAGGAGTGTATGCTACACTTGTTAGTGTTGGTCACTAACATGACCCATCACAAACATCTGACACTATCCTAAGAATATACATAAGGTTTTGTAAATATTTTAGTAAATGAATGAGTGGATGGGTGGGTGTGAGTGTGGGTGGGCATATATGGGTGTGAGACAAGAGAGTGTGGGAGAATGCAAGAGAGTGTGGGTTTGATAATGGGTGTAAATAATGTCAAATGTATGTGTGGTCCTTATCTAAACCTCTTCATCACTGTGACCTCGCCCCTGGGTAAGAGTGGGAGAGGGAGTTGGTGGGTGTGAAGAGGGAGCCAAATCATGGCCGTCTTTGCTGGAGAATACAGGTGAGCATCCCATGACTTTGTTATATATAATAATAGTGTGTGCAATTTAAATTGTGGGTCACTAAATGAAAACCACATTATGGCAAAAATAAGCTGTGTAAATGTGCATTATATAAGGGTCAACTGTAGCTGAAAAACTTAACCTTGAGCAAGGCTCAAGTGCATTGTTCCTATACCTTCTTTTCTTTTTCTAGTCAGGTGAAATGAGAGGCCAGCCCATTCTTGTGAACATTCCCAACGTCATGAAACTAAAGTGCCCTACCCAGCGTACTAAAGTGTCATAAGATACTAAATTGCCCTAACCTAACCAACCTGAGGATCTGTGAATGGAAAACAGGATATTTAGGTCAATTTCATAAGCTGCTACCATTTTCTTGTACATCAGTTTTTGGCATACGGTAAAGTATACATCAAAATGTGACATGCTATATCAAGAGCGGGTTGGAGAGGCAGGCAGAGCCTTAGTAGTGTGTCCTGTTGACCTTGGTGCTGACAACGACAGTTGGGAGTAGCTTCAGGGGCGGCCAATCCTAGGTGGTCTGTTTGATGCTGAATAGTTCTTGGAAAGGTTTTGGGCGTAGATGAATTAGAGAATAAAAATTCTCTACTTCATTCTGAGCTGGATCAAATATTTTCTAGTGTTTTCATTCACCCAAGTATGATCCTGTGAGGACATTTGAAAAGATCAATGTAAAATGTTGATCTTCGTGATTGTGTATAGTCTGGTACATGGGAACAGTAGGTCCTTGCCTAAGAGAGCAATTGAATGCTTTGATCAGAATTTTTTTTTAACATTTTCAGTTTCCATGAACGCCGTTGGTGTTCAAAATTTTTCTTTTGTGTCCTAGCCGGTGACACGAGCGGCATCCACATTTTAAAATATTTGTTAAAAATTTAAATTTTATTTGATCAATCTGGGAGTGGTTTTAAAATGAGCGCTTTTAGATTGCACACAATTTGATACCAAAATGAAAGATGTACAGTAACACGAAAATTGATGTCGAATACTGGAAAGATTATAAACACTTTTTGCGTCCAAAATTTAAAATGTTTGTTAAAATTCCATTTATTGTGCTATTATTATGGGACTAGTTTTGAAATATGCGCTTTTATATTACGAACAATTTGATACCAAAACAAGCAACATAACATGAAAATTGATGTTATCAAACTGAACAGGTATACACATCAGGTTGCGGGTGTGATAATTGGTGCTCGTTCACGGATAACTTTAGGCTTGCTAAGGGGAGTCACGCCAGGCTTTTGAACAATATATGTATATACAGTACACCTGCAGGGAATTTAATTGCGAACACAATGATATCAAAATGAACGACGTAGTACGAGAATTAACACTTTCGTGCTTTAGATTAGAGATAACTCGTCGCCGTTTTCTCTTACGATTCCGCATAAGAGCCGAGTTTTCTCGTCCATCGAAAAAATATTTCTATAAATTCCATTTTTTAACCGAAATGGATGGGATACTTTTGTTTTGTAGGGAATTTATTTGCGAATGTTTTGGTACCAGAATTAATATTATATCACATAAACTTCTATGAGTAAAAAAAAAAATACACAAAGTATGTTTGGGGGTGTGGCGAGCGTGTGGCAGTGGGTTCCCTTTAGCCGTTGATATATCCAACACGTGGGAAATATTTGTATGTGTTATGTATATGTCTGTGTAGGGAATTTTACTGCGATCACTGTCATACAAATTATAAAATGTTTCAACAAGTATAAACATGACAAACATCAAACGAACGAAAACAATGCGTTCGTTTCTGCCGCGAACGCATACTGAGCGACGTGGTTCTATATTTGGCGCTTCTCTTACACATGCTTTGTACAAATGTTATACAGTTCATCTTATAGAAAATTTTATTGCGAACACATTGGTATAAAAAAGAAATACGTACATAGAAAAGTAGGGTCAGGAAACGTATAAATTTTCCAAGCATGATTTCCCCCCTGTGTTTTCGCCAGTGCGCTCGCGGCTAACTACAGTACTCTCCACTTCACACACTCTTGCGGGTGGGCAATTACCTATATTAAACATTCATATGCATATGTCCGTGTAGAGAATGTTATTGCGATTCCAATGATACCAAAATCAGCGATGTAGGACAACTGTAGGCTTCGCAACCATTAAGAGAGTGGAAACATTTTGTTGCTGTTTGGCGCTCTCGGCGAGTGATCTGCATAGTTTTTTATTTGGTGTTGATACTCCTTATGCTTGGGCGGCATTTTATAGGTATGTTCTTATAGACAATTTCATTGCGAACACAGTGATACCAAATTTAAATACGTGCGCCTTCAATTATTGTCAGGACAGTCAAAAGAGTGTACACTTTTCGGTCTTACCGCGTAGGCGCGCGAAGTGCCGAAAGCATCTGGGGTATTGTTTTTTTTTGAGCGCCGAGAGCGCGAAAGTGTTAAGGTGAGAAAACTGAAATGAGTATACACATTTTATTGATTTTGTGCGCTCGTGGGTAATTTTTGCCTCACGCCGGGCTTTTGGACCTTATATGCATATACACCTGTGGGGAATTCTATTGCGAACACAATGTTACCAAAACGAACGATGTAGCACGAGAATCAAGATGAGAAAACTGAAACGAGTATACACATTTCGGTGTGGCCACACACTCGAGCGCACCGCCAGGAGCAGTTCGTGCATACAAACGGAGCGCATGCCCGGGGCATGAAAGTGTTAATTTGCTTGACACTCAAAGCCCTTATTGTTTTTAATATCAATTGAACACATATCAAACCTCATATTAGCAAAGTGTTGATCCATTGCACCACCATTTGGGAAGTTGTGAGACATACGACCCATAAGGTTGCAGAAGCAGGAGTATGTGGCTGCCTCATCATCAAAAATAACCAGGAGTGGTGCAACTAGATCACACATTCCTTGCATATATCCAGTATCAAGGTGCTCCCACACGTATCTGAGGGAAAAAGTATAATTTGTGAGAAAATAAAATAAAATTCTAAGTACAGGTACTTCTATAGCCACCTAGAGGAAAATAAAGAAACCAAAAACATTCACTATTAAAACTGCTAATTATTAGTTGATGAACCTTGTATTTCATAGTACAGAATCATTACATCAAACATAATTTTTTATCATGCATTATTGGCTTTGCCACTTTCCAAATAAAACATGGATTTACTTACGTGCACATTACATTCCGCAGCTTCTCCAGGTTATCTGGATTAAAATACCAGTAGTTTCTATCACATCTTTGCACATCTTTATCAATGCGATGCAAATTCAGCCCAAAAGTTTCTAGCAGTTCCATCTGGTAATGACATTTGTGTAAAATATTAAAATTGCAATGTTAGTAAATTTTCTAATAAATATTAAATACAAAGTTGGTAAACTGTGTAATAAAACAGTAAGTTTAGCACAGTAACTATAATACATATAGTGCTGTATGAGTGTATGCACTAGATAAGCTAGATTTTAAAAATGCCTTTAGTCATGTCAGAGGAGAGTGTGTTCTCTGAGCCATTTCTCACCTTTTTATCCTTACATCTAGTCATGCTATAGTGGTGACTCAAAGTTTCTCTTTGGGGAACATTAAGTTAATCTGTTAAACAGATTAACTTAATCTGTTGACTTAAAGGTGTCCAACAGGCTTGCCCCCTAGGCTCCCCCCCTCTCCTCATTATTTTCTTAGCCATTAAGGAGATTTTCTTAGCCATTAAAGGGGGGGGGGATGATGACATTCTTACCAGTAACTCTGATACTCTCCTTGAGGACATCAGCAAAATCCAAGAGCTAGGAGTTACAGGAGACTTTTTCACACTGGATGCTTTAAGAATGAGATTTAGATCTGCTCATCTCAAGAAGATAGGAGCAAATCTAAGTTTCATTCTTAAAGCATCCAAGTGTGAAAAAGTTTCCTGTAACTCACACATTATTGAACAAGTAAAAGATGTCCTGCCAGATATCTACACAACTGAAGCAATGGATTGCACCTGTTAGGTGCCCCTCTTGGTTTGCATGCAACTGAGAAGATCCTAGATGTAAAAATCACTGACTGCATGACAGGATTGAAAAAATTGCTCATGATGCTTTCTGCCTTCTCTCCAGATGCCTCTCTCTACCTAAGCTAATTTACTTTCTGAGGTACTCCATCCCACAGCAGCTTCAAGTTAAGTGAGTCCTTTTGAAGTCCAAGCTAGAAAAAGTCCTCGGTTTTCCGAGGAAGGCTCTCTTCCAAAGGAAGAGATATGGCAGGTGCTATGGTGAAGGTAAGATAACTGGCTGAGAAACATTACCCAAGTTTACATAAGTGTGACGAGGTCCAAGGACATTGACCAAATATTTAATTTCGTTCTGCTAAGATTCTAACGAACAGTATTTCTATAAAAGAATAGAATTGCTTGGGTTTAACCCTCATCAAGGAATACTTACTGAATAAACTCCTCCTTGTGAAGATGCTGGGGAAATGCAAGATGATCTAGATTCTAAACTGTGGCCATCTTGATTTTCTTCAACTGCCAAAGTATCCATATTTTTATCATCATTATTTTCCCCATTTTCTAAATTGGCATCTCCATTCCCATTTTCTGTAATACTTTTGACCTCATCATCAGCAGCACCTTCATCCTCCATACCATTCACTGGAAAGCATTTAAAATGTTATCATCTCGGATAATATTGTAACAAAAGATTATGATATTGATTTATCTCAAATTCAAGAAAATAAGTAAAAATTTTGTAAAATATAGTTAATAATATAACACACATCCTCTAAAAATTTACAGAACCTATAGCTAATATGGATGGAATGTACAAAACATGGACTGTTGTATATAAAATCATGTAAAGTACTATTGGAATTCTAAAGGGCACAATAAAAAGAGAAACAAACTAAATAAATATGCAGGAGTTAGCAGGCATTAATATGCTAAATATGCAGGAGGAGTAAATAGGTATGCAGGAGTTAGTCATTTTGTGGGGTTTCATCCCAGGGAATAGTCAGTAATCCAATTTTGGGAGACCTCGATATGAGCCTAACATGTACATGTTTTATAAATGTTTAAATACTGTACAGTACTTGTTTTAAATAATATATATATACATATATAAATATATATATGTCGTACCTAGTAGCCAGAACGCACTTCTCAGCCTACTATGCAAGGCACGATTTGCCTAATAAGCCAAGTTTTCATGAATTAATGTTTTTTTGTCTACCTAACCTACCTAACCTAACCTAACCTACCTTTTTCGGCTACCTAACCCAACCTAACCTATAAAGATAGGTTAGGTTAGGTTAGGTAGGGTTGGTTAGATTCGGTCATTCCTAACATTCCTACGCTAATGAGAAAAATCATTCCTACGCTAATTTTAACTACAATAAAACAAAATTGACCTCATACATAATGAAATGGGTAGCTTTATCATTTCATAAGAAAACAATTAGAGAAAATATATTAATTAAGGAATACTTGGCTTATTAGGCAAATCGGGCCTTGCATAGTAGGCTGAAAAGTGCGTTCTGGCTACTAGGTACGACATATATATATATATATATATATATATATATATATATATATATATATATATATATATATATATATATATATATATATATATATATATATATATATATATATATATATATATATATATATATATATATATATATATATATATATATATATATATATATATATATATATATATATATATATATATATATATATATATATATATATATATATATATATATATATATATATATATATATATATATATATATATATATATATATATATATATATATATATATATATATATATATGCAACAATGATCACAAAAATATGTATATATATATATATATATATATATATATATATATATATATATATATATATATATATATATATATATATATATATATATATATAATATATATATATATAATATATATATATATATATATATATATATATATATATATATATATATATATATATATATATATATATATATATATATATATATATATATATATATATATATATATATATATATATATATATATATATATATATATATATATATATATATATATATATATATATATATATATATATATATATATATATATATATATATATATATATATATATATATATATATATATATATATATATATATATATATATATATATATATATATATATATATATATATATATAAAAATGTATGTATGTATGTATATACAGTATATATATATATATATATATATATATATATATATATATATATATATATATATATATATATATATATATATACTGTATATACATACAGACACAATTTTAATAATAATTCATTATGTCGGGGGGGGCAGGCAGCCAGTGTATATAATATTAAATTAATAATAAGGTAGTAACACAACACAGTGTTATTAGTGTTGGAAACAGGTTTGAGATCAAATAAATTTTGTTTAGCTTGGGACTAGGCACAGTTCATAAAATATATGGGGTAACTGATGCGTAGGGCCCAGAGGAAAAGAGAGATTAGAACACTTTAACAGATGTGTGGTTTGTTCGTCATCATCTTCAGCCATGTTATTGTGACTAATCATCTGTAAATTCTTTATTATTTGTGACAGACATATTTGATGTGGCTAACCTGTAATAATCAATATATCTGTCCAGCTGTGTGTCATAAATTTTTCGTGAAGCCAAATATTCTTGGTGTCTTTAACATTTAATTTTTATTAATAACTTTTCTTGATTTATTGATTTTTGTTGATTATTCCTGTGATATTTCTACCAGAAAATTACCCAGCAATCATCATATGTAGTATGGGGAAGAAAATCTAATACCATCACTTCAGAGTGCCAGCCATTCTTACATTCCTCTTCAATGCTGACCCCGAGTTATCATTGGCATACTGACATCTGATCAGGTTCTATCTTCAAAACAGCCTGAATGTTACATGAATTTACCTGAGTACTGTTATCTTTATTAGCTTTAATGGGGACTGGAAACCTATTGCTAGTTTTCACATGTGTCTTTTTAAATTGACAGTATTTCTGTTATTGATTTGAAGACTATTTCCTATTGTTTGTATTTCCTATTGTTTCATTTGCATTGTGGCTTCTGAAGCTAAACAAATATTTATCCATTGTTTTCTCACATACAATATTTTGAAGAAGTGTTCAAGTTTTGAGTCAACCCTTAAACTGCGCAACACGTCATATGACGTGTTGTATATATAATAGTGTATAGCAACATGTCATATATAACGTGTGTATATATATAGTGTAATGACAGCAAAAGGAGTGTTGAGAGAAGCCATTTTGGTGAGAGAGGTGGTGACATCTGCATGACTTGTCATGCTGGGTAAGGGTGGCTACTATGGTTTAGTAGCTTTAGGCTTTGTATGTACTAGCTCTATCTATTAATCCAACAAACTTTGTAAAATCTCTTTATGTATGTACCTTACCTAAATAAACATTTATTTATTTATTTATGGTCTTTGGGCACTATACCGCCTTAGTTGAACAGTTATGGTGAACAAAATATGTAGATACTTATATATAATATGTGTGTATAGGGTAATAATACCACAACAGTATACTTGAAGGAGGAATATTAGTGAATCTGGCCTTGATCCAGTGATGATGGGAGGGAGGGAGGGAGGGAGGGAGCAGAGCACGAGTTGTGTGTGGCCACCTGTTTCTGTTTGCCGTCACCATACAAGATTAGTGGTTCGCTATGGGGAACACAAATGTAGATACTTATATATAACCTGTGTATATAGTGTAATAACTGACAAAGTATTTGTTCACTGTTTTATGAACATAATAATTGAATCAATAATATGCACACCATAATTTTGAGTACAACGATAATTCACACATTTTATTATATAAACATATCGCACTACATACTATTGAATAATATTAGAGCAAAAAATCAATCAGAGACATTGAAATAATTAGGTAATTATATCTTTGTGGCAACCCCCCCCACCTGACAGCTGAGGCGAAGCAGAACTCCCCCGACGCTTGCTGAGTCAGCGCCTCTTTTTTGCCAGACTTCCCCGACTACTTACGATTTTTGCCAGACTTCCCCATCTACTTACGATTGTGGCTACTTACGATTTTTTTTTATTATTTTTCCCATGATCGGAACACAAATTAACAGGTTAAGATGAAACAAAAAATTATATATTTTTTTTTTTGTTATGCCAAATTGGGTAACAAACACCAAATTGCCCTTAGCAACACAAGGGTTAAGCAATTTGTTCATTGTCTTAAAAGTCTATTATATCATCTTTATCATGCTTTGTTTGAATAGTTGTCAAGTCTTAAAGCCCCCAACATATACCGGCTTACAAAATGACTATTATAGGATGATTTTTGTCATTCTGCACAGAACATTTTTCAATGATAAAATGCCTTTCTGAAAGTATGGTCCAAATGCTTGAAAAGTTGGTGGTATAATGGTAAAAGTCTAAATTCCTTATTAAGACTACTCAATAGTTCGGTCGATAGAGCTTCAGCCTCACACGCATGGGGTCAGTGGTTTGAGTCTCCTAGAACCCAGGTGAATGGAGTGCTATAATGGTGATGTGTATACTGCAGCTCAATGGGTTCTTCCTAAGTTTAGTTCTTATTATTCTAATGGCTTCTTATATAAACATGTTAAAATATAAATTTTTGGCATAAGAAATTATTGTTACATTTTATTTTGTTAAAACAAGTTAAATATTTTAGAAAATATTGCTATAATGGATAGTTCGTAGACTATTTTGAGTACTATTTATGGGATGAATGTACCTTATAAATAAGTAATTATCAAAAGACGGCACCAAACCGGGAGGGCTATGTAGCATCATCATGTACCTTATAAAATATATGTACTTTAAACCATTATCAGCATCTTATGATAGATGAATTGAAAATTATTTGCATTTGTATTAAAGGATTTTATTCACTTTAAATACGTATTATTTTTATATATATTTACTCTGGAAATATAAGATTAATGAATTATAACACAGTATCAGAAATTATGTATAAAAATACAAATATTAATAAAGAGTATGTATATACAGTATATCGTAACAATAACATATTTAACCAAGTTTACACATTGTCAGATATGGCTCAAGGTACAGAATACAGAGCTATATGTTTGTGTAAATGATTTGGTTTAGGTTTTACATATGATCTACTTCACTGGGAACACCTCCAAAATTGCAATTCCGACAGAAAAAGCCAAATCAAAATATTGCAGAGCTGCGAGGTCACAAAACGGGCATAAGAAACACAATGACTACACACCTACGTCAGAGTGGCTGCCACTGTCTAGGGAGGCTTTGCTAACTATAACTGGGGTGGTGATGGGGGTATTACATGTCTCCACGGTGAACGAGGCACTAACACAGGCTGCTGTAAGAACGGAAACACTAAAGATACACACAAACACCAATGCTACTAGAGTAAACAAATAAGAAAATAAAATATGATTGGTGTTATCGGTGCTATTAGAGAAAATAAACTCTTAAAAGGGTTTATTATATTAATAGAAAATAATATTAGCATGAACATATTAATGGATGAAAACAAACAATATAAGTAGGTGATACTGTTTTGGCTTCTGGAAATAAGATAAAGTACATTATAGGGTATACATGAGTAACATACAGTATATCGAAACACTATAATACACACTGCTACCCTATACAACATTTCCTACTTGACATGTCTACTCTCAATAATTCATCAATTTACTTTTTGATATACAGTACTCAATACTGTAGTCCTTTTACTCTTTAACTGAACCTGAATTTTATGACCAATGCGTATACAATTACAATTTCTCGCTATATCTCTCTCTCTCGCTATATCTCTCTCTCTCGCTATATCTCTCTCTCTCGCTATATCTCTCTCTCTCGCTATATCTCTCTCTCTCGCTATATCTTTCTCTCTCGCTATATCTCTCTCTCTCGCTATCTCTCTCTCTCTCTCTCTCTCTCTCTCTCTCTCTCTCTCTCTCTCTCTCTCTCTCTCTCTCTCTCTCTCTCTCTCTCACACTCTCTCTACACACTAATACACATGCAAAATAAATAATTTATTGTTTCTCTGGATAAGGATGTAACTCAACACATCAAAACAATAAGCAGTAAATGCATCAAAACATTAAACTACAGTACTTGGAATAAATCTAGTGAATATAGTCCAATTCCACAGCTAAAGGAATAAAGTGACACTTTGCATTAAATTACAAGTAGATATAAAATATGTTTAGCTAAATGTTTGATGCAAAAGTAATATCACTACCACATTCTTTAAATTTGGGTTCATCTCTATGCTGGGTGAAAATAAATATTTTCTTATACTGTACTCTCATCATACACTATTTCATACATATCTGAAATCAACTTATATTACATAGCTAAGAGGCTAATTTGCTTGCAGGTGAAGGATTTAAGGTAAGTTTTACCTGTGCAAGGCCATGTTGACTTCATAAGGACCATAGGTGCTCTAAGATTTGTTTCAATATAGAAACTGCTTGAAATTTTGAGGGTTTCGTAAAGAACAAGCACCTTCCTTTGTTCTCTCTTAAAAATACATTTTACACTATCACTTGTTATATGGAATGTAAATGGTCAATATTCTGTGAGCATGGCTGTGCAGTCAAATCAAAGATAAATCATGAGTTAAAATTATTTACTTGCATCACTTGGAGTGGGGATGTGTTCTGCTGTGTTATCCGCCTCGTCAACTTCATTGCCTTCTTCTACACCTTCATCAGGTGTTACCACACACGTCTGAACACAAGAAACTATATAATATATATATTTCAATAAATAATAAACCATCCAGACTAATTCAATAAGCTAATGTGAATAATAATGGGTAATGTAAATAAACATCAATTTTATTTGAAGATGCATGAGATTTTAATATCTATTTTATAACTGATAAACTTTTTAAATAAAAATCCAGCATTGAATGTAATGAAACGCCATTTTCTAGGCGAGCTCCGGAGGCTCCCTGAAGCTATCCAAACTGATATGTGCTACGTATATTAGTTTGGGGTCATCAGTCACAGGAATCCTTATGCCTGCGGGGAACCATGAGCCAAAACCTGGCTCCTTCAGAGTGGTACAGGGAGAAATGGCCTACGAGCACTTTACATTTAAAGTATGTCGTAATTGCCATCTACCGGGGAAGCACCCAGAAACATAGGTGAAACAAAACAGACCACTCTCTGGTGAAAATTGCGACCTACATCCGAATATAGCAGAAGAACTTCCCCGAAAGAAAACGAACAAGCAACACTTCATCCAACTTCCACTCACCAGTTGGCAGCCCACCACTCCCGTTATTGAACAATGAAGACCGCCAACCGGAGGGTGGGAGGGTGTCAGGGAGCCTCCGGGGCTCAGCCAGAAAATGGTTTTTCATTCCATTCAACCCTGGTTTTCTGTGGGGAGCCACATCGGCTTCCTGAAGCTAAATACCCACAGATATGTAAAACCAGGGACTTATCCAGAAGGCAGCAGCACCACAGGTCTCAAAGCAAAAAAGAAACTGACGGCCATGACAGTCTTCCCAACGCAACACAATGCTTGAGAGGGCCTGGGACGTTCATGAGATACCTGGTGGCCAGGACCCTGTTCGACCTCCAAAACCACACGCCTGAATGTCAACCCAAGACATACTACCTCACATCATAGGCACGAGGGCAGACCACAGGCTAGCTAGAATTAAGTACACTGCGGACAATCTGAGACAGACAAGCCCTGGAACAGGGAACCAGAGAAACCGATCAACCCAGACTTTCAAATTACTACAAATTATCAATGTATATCTCAATTACTATTTTTAATACTGTACACTACTCTGTTTAACTGTTCACCTTGTAAATTACAAATCACCCAAAATTCCCAGTATGCACCTCATCTACTTTGTTAGCATTAAGGGTTGCCCAAAATGTTAGTGGTGTTACAGTAGTGGTTTTCTGGAATGACCACTTAATCATCAAAATTCTGAGTAGAATAACCCATTGTACCTTCTTGTAAATAAATAAGTACAAATATAAATAATTAAGTAATCTTGGATCAAGACTAACCAGATAGATCTTTATGTCATGTCGAAGATACAGTACATAAGGAATGTTGTGTTATGAATGCTAAGCTGTGTCTGGTTTTGTATACCAAACAGGTAGAAGGATGAGAACAAATGCGCTCTGTCAGATGAGAATGAGGCCGGAGTTGACACAAAAATGAAGTGGATTCTGTGGAAGTATACTGAAGGGAAATGAGACAAAACAAAAATGGAGAATGAGAGTAATGTGAAAAATGATGTAAATAGAAAAACAGAAGATTAATGAAAAGCTCTGAAAAAAATGAATCATCATTTTTGGATCTCCACATCTTCATAAAGTTTGTGTATACAGTCCAATGTTTATATAACTTGGTCCCCTAAATTGTGGTCTAGCTGCCTGTGGCACCACTGAGTGTTTTGCCTGACCCAGCTTTGTTGTGTTTGTATCTACCACAGCTATTGAAACCTTCCTACACAACATAATATTTTGCTGAAAATATGCAACATTCAGCCAATATTACCTAAACAAATGCAAGTAAAACTTTGGCCCTGACTTCAACTACCAGCAAACGCAAGAGAAAATCTGCTGTGGTGAATTGTGAAGAGAAAGTTGAGTATGGCATCCCCAGGAGCATTGTGTGCACTAAATTAAAAATAGAGCATAAACATAAAATTTTCAAGCATTATAGTAGATAACTAAAAACAACACTCAAAAAGATTAACAATATGGCTACCAAGAGAGCTCAATTTATATACTCCAAGCATTGCTAGGATGAGAGAAAATAAATATTATAAATCTATATTTTTTAACCCACTCCATGTATCCTTTTATAGTTTAGCATTGTGTTTATTTGACAGCTATGAAAATGTCAAAGTAAAAATCAGATTACAAGAAGACAGAATGCAGTTATTAAAGGGATACAACATGCAGCTTAATATTAAAAGAAAGGGGAACAAGTCCTATCATTACCTCCATGTAGTGCTTCCTGGGTCATGCTAACACAAGCATCTTGAACAGTAGAAGCAATGCACATAACACCCATACCATGCACATATACACACCTAAATAAATAATACACATACACATGATGCTGAATAATCTGAGTCTAGCACCTGGCTTCAGGACTAGAATAAATAACCTACCCAGATCCACTACCTGGTAAAAGGTTGAAGGCCCAACATGTTATATAAAATGAAATACCACTTACAGGTTGGCACTGTAAATAAAAGTTACAGTAGTGTAGTAGGAACAAATAAATGAACACTAGACCCACAAATAATGGATCCCTCTTAGAATCATTATCATGTCAAAGTTGAGTCATACAGTATACTAAGAATGAGAGATGAAGTCCAACACCTAATCAATTTATATAGGTTTAAGTATAATAGTTTTGATGCACATTGGGTTGATATATAAGACTTGTTATTAACCACTGGACTGCACTGGCCGAGAAAACTATTTTTGTTGGAAACTGCGCGAGCCGAGAAAACACCATTTTAATATTTCGTACCCATTCAAAATGCGCACGCGGTTGCTTGGGTACGAAATGAACTCTTGGGACCTCCAGTGAGAGGCAACCATCTTGGAAAAAGTTCCCTGAATGCAATTCTATAATATTTAGTTTATCTAAATATTATATAATTCTAAATATTTAGTCTATCATCCTTTAGCGATGCTGTGAGCATGAGATGCATGGCAGTGGTGTGAGCTGCTGCTGTATATGCTATACATGATTGCTGTGTTAGTGCTGAGGCCCTCACACCCAGGAGGTATGCAAACAATTTTTTTCCAATATGGCATGTGTTTACTGGAGACCTGACCAAGTGGATATGACCCCTGATTATTTAGTATACCCATGAGAGTTTTAAATCTTATGCTAGACCTAAAACCATCCTTGATCACTATGCGCACCAATGATGCAGCGATCCTGGTTGCTATTGTTAAGGCAGAATCTTGATAAAAAAAATTTAACTAGCAGAAATTTTAACTTACCTTGGTGGAAGGGAAGGGAAGGGAACTTTAAGAGGAAAGTGCCAAGCCATATGACTATACAGTATAGCACTGGGAAGGGGTCGGGATAAGGATTGGGGATGGGACGGGGGGGGGGGGGGGAGGAATGGTGCCCAACCATTTGGACGGTCGGAGATTGAAAGTTGACCTGCATGAAGTGAAACCATCCATTCTACCGTCCAGCCCAAGTGGTTGGACTTACCTTGGTGAAGATTAAGCCTGTCTTGATTACCCTCAGATTGAAATACTGTTTTGTACAGTACTTTACAATAAAGAAGTGTAGTACTCTACATATTTAAACTGAAGAATGTTAATAATGTACTATAGGTTTATCATCAGTAATTGAATAGCATTACTATTATAGTAATTATTATCATTAATTTAATATAATTTGTGTCGATTTTGGTTTGTACAGTACTTCACAAAGAAGTAATTTGAAAGTTTAACATTTCAAGGTGCATCAAACTACACTCACTGACTTACCTTCTCTGTGTTCTCATATTAAATGATTGATTTATCTAAACTACTCTAATAGGAAGCATGTGAAGTAATACCTTCAGTGTTACTTACAGGACTGGCCACCTCTGCTGTGTCACTCTCTTTGCTCTCTTGCCTCATATTTTCTTTTAAATAAATTTCATTGTTGTCAGTTTCATCAGTCATCAAATTTTCTTTGTTCTTCATTTCTGTGAGTGTTGTATCCTCATGGCTGACATTTTCCTTATTTGTACAAATTTCAGTGTCTGTCTCTACGTTGGTGATATCTGATTGTTCTAAGTCGTCCAAGACAGGGTCCTCATCCTCCTCCTGCACTGTGCCGGGGTTATCCACTGACCCAATACTCAATGTGTCTGGCTCAAACACCTGTGGCAGCAGACACAGGTTACCATTAACCCTGGACAAATATGCAGTAACTTACACTTTCCATTCATTTAAAAGGGCATTGTAATTAATCAGGTGGAATGAGAAAAACATGGAACAGGCAGACAAGCTCGACATTATATTTGGACACATTTACGGGAAAAGTTGACACAGTGTCATTATAACACCTAAGGGTGATGGATGCAAAGATACTTAACATTTGTGACAAACTACATTATGACAAATTAAGAAATAATGTTTTTTGTTCATTCCAGCAAGTCAAATGGCTTTGATTATACATATAAAAACAGGGAAACCATTATTTTTAGTAAGAACTAAAAAGTACAGATTTATAAGACAGCTGCACATGCTGAATGGTTTAAAGACTAATTTATTATGTTGATTTATCGAGGGATGTTTAACAGTTAAATACAAGAATATTAATGTCGAACAAAGAGGAGCATAGTGAAAGGAATAAAGTTAAAAGCAAAAATTAAATTATGTACAGTATTTTGATAAAAATAGTGATGAATATTAACATACTATGCCAGACAGGAAAGGCCATACCTCATTGCTGAGAGATCGATCTCTCCCAACTAGTGGTATTTCTCCATTCTGTGACTCTGAAGACAGCTTGGCCATATTTAAAGCCATTATCTCCTTATCACGTTGTCGCACAATTGCTTCAACAGCCAACCACTCAGACATTGTGGTTTCATATGTTTGACGAATCTGTTGTAAATATGATGAGTGTTACTAAAGAATGCAATTGTATTTAAAATAATAATTTGTTATAAATATACTTTGAAGTGGTTATGCCCAACTTTCTACTGACCAATGAAAATTTAGGAAAATTTAATTTTTTGTTTAGCAAAAGGTGAAGTAATCTTGTAGTAAGCCAATGAAAGGAAAGCAGCCGTGTTTGGTGTTCAACAGGTTTATTTACGAGATAAAGGAAGACAGATTTATGGGCTTAGCTAATTTGAGCAGCATGTGTGTGATAGAAGGATGTATTATTCAAGTATTTTTCATCACGTGTTAATTTTTGTGATTTACACACACACACACATTATTATATATATGCGGAAAATCCACAGAGAAATGGGAAAGGGAGATGAACATTTCGGCCAATCAAAGTCGTTGACAACGGCTTTCATCAGCCGAAACGTTCATCTCCCTTTCCCATTTCTCTGGATTTTCAACACACAAATGATCAGTGTTTCGTGATCGTCAATTGCATATATGCAATATGCATATATGTATATATATACAGTATATATATATATATATATATATATATATATATATATATATATATATATATATATATATATATATATATATATATATATATATATATATATATATATATATTATTAAATATGACCGAAAAAGTAAGATTAATAATTCTAACACGAATTTTCTCAATCTTTCGTACATTACGCTTCACTGTTGGAGGTAAATAAAAAATCACTTCTCCAAAATTCATTTTTATTTCTAGTCTGACGCGACACGGGCGCGTTTCGTAAAACTTATTACATTTTCAAAGACTTCACAAATACACAACTGATTAGAACTTGCGTTTCTCTGATTTTATATCTACATTTGAGTGAGGTGGGAAGGGTGATGTGGCATTAACACAAGACAGAACAATAGGGGATATTAATAGGGTATTAAAAGTATCAACACAAGACAGAACAGAAACAATGGGTATTGAATAGAAGTGTTTGTAGAAAGCCTATTGGTCCATATTTCTTGATGCTTCTATATTGGAGCGGAGTCTTGAGGTGGGTAGAATATAGTTGTGATATATTCACACAACTATATTCTACCCACCTCAAGACTCCGCTCCAATATAGAAGCATCAAGAAATATGGACCAATAGGCTTTCTACAAACACTTCTATTCAATACCCATTGTTTCTGTTCTGTCTTGTGTTGATACTTTTAATACCCTATTAATATCCCCTATTGTTCTGTCTTGTGTTAATGCCACATCACCCTTCCCACCTCACTCAAATGTAGATATAAAATCAGAGAAACGCAAGTTCTAATCAGTTGTGTATTTGTGAAGTCTTTGAAAATGTAATAAGTTTTATGAAACGCGCCCGTGTCGCGTCAGACTAGAAATAAAAATGAATTTTGGAGAAGTGATTTTTGATTTACCTCCAACAGTGAAGCGTAATGTACGAAAGATTGAGAAAATTCGTGTTAGAATTATTAATCTTACTTTTTCGGTCATATTTAATAATATATGTCTACAGGAAAGACTGCTACCAAAATATACTAATATATATATATATATATATATATATATATATATATATATATATATATATATATATATATATATATATATATATGTCGTACCTAGTAGCCAGAACGCACTTCTGAGCCTACTATGCAAGGCCCAATTTGCCTAATAAGCCAAGTTTTCCTGAATTAATATATTTTCTCAAATGTTTTCTTATGAAATGATAAAGCTACCCATTTCATTATGTATGAGGTCAATTTGTTTTTATTGGAGTTAAAATTAACGTAGATATATGACCGAACCTAACCAACCCTACCTAACCTAACCTAACCTATCTTTATAGGTTAGGTTAGGTTAGGTAGCCGATAAAGTTAGGTTAGGTTAGGTTAGGTAGGTTAGGTAGTCGAGAAAAACATTAATTCATGAAAACTTGGCTTATTAGGCAAATCGGGCCTTGCATAGTAGGCTGAGAAGTGCATTCTGGCTACTAGGTACGACATATATATATATATATATATATATATATATATATATATATATATATATATATATATATATATATATATATATATATATATATATATACAGAGCACCACTTGGTTTCCGAACCCCTTGGGGACGAGACCCGTCGGTTAACATGTAAGTTCGTATACGAGAAATAGAGGGGAAAAATAAACTAGAAATGTAAAAAGAAATTTTTCCGAAAAATTTATGAAAAAACTCTAGGGAAAAAAATCGTCAGGTTCATGGCGTAAATGCGACCGTGTTTTGTTTGTACTCATCAATAAGTGAAGTCCTGATCCGCTTTATAAAAGTCCTTAATTGTTCCTAACTGATTATTAAGACGTCTAGCAAACATCCTCTGGATGTTTCCTGCCAGCCTGCAGGCACATCCTGCCTAAAATATACGATGATGTACTGTACATTTAAGAAACAAATCTGGGTCACAGGTCTGTGGAGTGTGGTTAGGCTTACGGAGTCAGCCGGTCCCTCCCCCACCACCAACACACCTCCCCCTCTCCCCCCACCACCGACACACCTCCCTCTCTCCCCCCACCACCGACACACCTCCCCCTCTCCCCCCACCACCGACACACCTCCCCCACCCCAAACCCATACACACACACACACACACTCTCAAAGGTCACGTGGTTCACAGTTCACTTCAACACCCATATATCGCTTCCTGCCTGCCTGCCTCCTTCCCACCCTGCCAGCCTGCTTCCTTCCCAGCCTGCCTCCTTCCCAGCCTGCCTGCCTGCCTCCTTCCCAGCCTGCCTCCTTCCCAGCCTGCCTCCTTCCCAGCCTGCCAGCCTGCCAGCCAGCCTGCCAGCCAGCCAGCCAGCCTGCCTGCCTGCCTGCCAGCCTGCCTGCCTGCCAGCCTGCCTGCCTGCCTGCCTGCCAGCCAGCCTGCTTCCTTTCCAGCCAGCCTGCCTCCCCCCCTGCCATCATGCTAACGGGTAGTGTGTGTTAGGCTTATCTTCGGGAATGAGCCGGTCTCACCCCCACCACCAACAAACCACCCGCCCCCCTACATCCCATCTCTCAAGGTCACGCGGTTCAACCGCGTGACTACCACTCACTCCCTGCCTGCAAGCTAGCCTGCCTGCCTGCCTGTGCCTGCCAGCCTGCCTTTCCCTCCCTAATTCTCACTACTTCCATCCCTTCCTGCCTACCTCCTAGCATCTCTCCCTACCTCCCCCTCCCTCGTAGCATCTCTCCCTCCCTCCCCCTCCCTCCTAGCATCTCTCTCCCCCCCTCTCTCACTGATTCTCCCCCCCCCCTCATTCATACTGCCTCCCACCTAAGTTCCATCGTCCATCCACCCACCAGTCAGCCATCACTGACGCAATGGGTGCATTTGGAGCCAACATGGTGCACAGATGTTTCTTGATTGTGCAGATATGTAAAACAAAAGCACAGAATGAACATTCCAGCCTTATGGCAATTCAAAATAATAGGAATAATAGGCTGTGAATCTGTGAAGTCACAGTGGGCAAACTGGACCATCGCCCACCCACCACCACAAACCGGCGTGACGCTTGGTGGACCCCTTCCTACCCGAACTTTGTTCGGGTAGCATGACTCCCCAACCCCAATCGGGAAACTGGAAGTTTCGGATAACTAAAGTTCGGAAACCAAGTGGTGCTCTGTATATATTTAAACATTTATGCATGTATATATGCACATATATTCATGTGAAGAGTAATTACTCACACGGCGATCTTGCTCATCTCTCTCTTCTGGTGAGCTTCCAAAGTTGTAGTGACCTAAAAGATATGGCCACACCTGAGGAAAAATGTCATATTTTAAGCAAAATCTCTCAAATTTAGACAACTTCATAATGTCCTCTGATAATCATTCACCTCATAATTTATTATATTTTCAGTTTCTTTCTCTTAATCCTCTTTTCAAATAAAGAATCAATTTTTTTTGTTAACATCATAAATTAACTAGAAATGTGACTATTCGAGATTAAACTTGATGAGCATCTGCAAAGGATATTTGATCAACTGGGTTGTGATGCCTATATCAGACAGGAAGGTCAAGAATGAACAGTTTTACTGATAAGACCATCTACCAGGAAAGCTTGTCAGAGATTGGGCTGCAGGAAGACTGAATTCTAGAACAACAAGATAGCCTGGCTAATTCGGTGAATGGGTGAAATACTTCCGGCACTCTAGCAGTAAGGCTATTGGTACCACATTAATACAATATATACAAATACATATACAGTTTAATCAAAATATAGTATAAATACAAAATTATGGAAAAATAAATATATATTCAGCTACCATTTCAACATAGATTTTACACCCTCCATTTCACCGTGATGTAATAAAGAAATGAAACCGTTTTGATGCAGTCAACTATCGAATTTACACTTTGTTGAGTTTTTAGTATCATGTCATATTTGTTTGTAACTTTCTCATTTTAAATTACTTTAAATTCATAAATACAGTAAAGAAAATAATTTCATAAAAAGTTTCAGCCAATGAATTTACTGGAGCTGTTCCATTCACATGCTCCCTAAGGCACGATTAGTAACTGTCCCAATGGATATGATCATGATTACCAAAGAAAGGTGACATTCTGCACTTGCACATTTGGGATCTTTTCAGACATTCTTTCCAGGCCATATTGGTACTAGGAAGCTAAGGAGCCACAAGAAAAAAGCTCAGTACAGGCAAACAAGATTGACTATAGAAAGTTTACTCCTAAACATTCGGTCTTTCTAAGCCCAACTTATCACAGGAACCACCACAAAAGCTCTCACCAAACAGGTAGTTTCCTGCCTGTCTGCTACCCCTGACCAATACCAGATGGCAGTACCATTACTAACACCAGGTCCCCATGAGGCTCGAGCTTTATTACATTTTTATGGCTTGTCCTATGATGATTGGTCAGATCCTGTGAGAAACTGAATTAACAAAGTTTCCATTTGCTCTGCCAGGATTGCACCCCTGGCCAGACAAACCAAGTGTCAATTACTATAGGACCTCCCTCTAGAAGTCAGATAATTAATATTTTGCTAAAAATTAAGGAAAAAGCAGAAGTAATGAAAACAAGAATCAGGTTCAAAATTTAAAACCCTGCTTCTGTTGAGGAGTTGAGTGTTCATGGTTGTGCCAAGCTTATGAATGAGCTGGCTGGCTGACTGGAATCCTGAGATGTTAGGCTTTCATCTGGAGAAGGTAAGTGTATCTAGGTGGTGATCTCGCCATGGAAACGATTATTTACGTTGTTTCATCAGGGATACATATTTCTCAGAACAGTTGCTTATTTTGGTGGAATCTACCTTTCTGGTGGGTCTTTTACATGGCTCTATAGTGATCGTTCATCCCTATGCTTCCCCCTTGCTTCTTCGAGTGAGCCAAGTTCTGATCCTGGCCCCTGATAGATGCTTGAGGAGTCATTGTGGTCCTGGTGCATTCCCAAATTTTTGTTGTTTCCAGGTTGTAACACTGGGGAGTTACTGAAGGAGTCTTTCCCAGAAACCATAAGGAATTCCTACTTAGCATACCTAAATAAGTACTAATATACATGTGCTCACTTTTGGTTGACATAGCATCAAAATTTCTTACCTCTTTTCTGATTTGTGATGCAATACCACCAAGGTAGACCCGGGTGAGGAGCTCCTCTTGGTCTGTGAGGCAGCCATTGTTATGAAGAGCTTTCCATGCCTCTTCAGTTACACCTTCATCCCATGCTGTTGATATAGATATTTATCAACATAAGAGTGTGCATAATATTATTATCTATATACAAGAACTATGTAAGTAATATATGGTTTCTCATTATCAGGGACAGGAAGTCTGTTAGGTTTATCAAAATTCTCCCTAGCTAACACCGTCTAAAGAATGCCACCCACAACAGCTGACTAACTCAGAGGTACCAATTTACTGCTAGGTAAACAGAGCCATCGCGTATTATAAAATGTGCTCAGACATCTCACCTTACCTGGAAATCGAACCTGGGACCAATCATTTGTGAGCCAACTGTGCTACAGTACCTGGTAATACTGTATGTCTCTGTTTGGAGTTTTGACTCTAATCTACAGTCACTTGTACTTCCCTATTTGTTTACATGAGAAGTGGTATTTAGTTCTACAGTCTCCTAGTTGTTCTACCTGGCACATCTGTGCCTGACATATGCCTCATTACTCAACACAAAGCTGCTATTAGGACAATATCCAACTCTGGCCCCAGACATCACTCAGTACCCCTACTCAAATCTCTGAATATGTTAGATATTAAGTCACTGCACATCCTCTCATGTGTATTTATATATATATATATATATATATATATATATATATATATATATATATATATATATATATATATATATATATATATATATATATATATATATATATATATATATATATATATATATATATATATATATATATATATATATATATATATATATATATATATATATATATATATATATATATATATGTCGTACCTAGTAGCCAGAACGCATCTCTCAGCTTACTATGCAAGGCCTGATTTGCCTAATAAGCCAAGTTTTCATGAATTAATTGTTTTTCGACTACCTAACCTACCTAACCTAACCTAACTTTTTCATGTACCTAACCTAACCTAACCTATACGGATAGGTTAGGTTAGGTTAGGTAGGGTTGGTTAGGTTTGGTCATATATCTACATTTTTTTTAACTCCAATAAAAAAAATTGATCTCATACGTAATGAAATGGGTAGTTTTATCATTTCATAAGAAAAAAATTAGAGAAAATATATTAATTTAGGAAAACTTGGCTTATTAGGCAAATCGGGCCTTGCATAGTAGGCCGAGAAGTGCGTTCTGGCTACTAGGTACGACATATATATATATATATATATATATATATATATATATATATATATATATATATATATATATATATATATATATATATATATATATATATATGCAAACAAGCCTGAATGGTCCCCAGGACTATATACAACTGAAAACTCACACCCCAGAAGTGACTCGAACCCATACTCCCACAACTGGTATGTACAGGGACGCCTTAATCCGCTTGACCATCACGACCGGACATAAGGAAGTGATAGCCGAGGCTATTTGAACCACTTCCCCGCCGGCACTCGGATGGTAATCTTGGGCATAGCATTTTATCAAATCACCTCATTCTTTGGGGCACACGTGAGGAACACAAATGCAAACAAGCCTGAATGGTCCCCAGGACTATATACAACTGAAAACTCACACCCCAGAAGTGACTCGAACCCATACTCCCACAACTGGTATGTACAGGGACGCCTTAATCCGCTTGACCATCACGACCGGACATAAGGAAGTGATAGCCGAGGCTATTTGAACCACTTCCCCGCCGGCACTCGGATGGTAATCTTGGGCATAGCATTTTATCAAATCACCTCATTCTTTGGGGCACACGTGAGGAACACAAATGCAAACAAGCCTGAATGGTCCCCAGGACTATATACAACTGAAAACTCACACCCCAGAAGTGACTCGAACCCATACTCCCACAACTGGTATGTACAGGGACGCCTTAATCCGCTTGACCATCACGACCGGACATAAGGAAGTGATAGCCGAGGCTATTTGAACCACTTCCCCGCCGAGTCGAGTCACTTCTGGGGTGTGAGTTTTCAGTTATATATATATATATATATATATATATATATAATATGCTGAACTGTAATGCCAATCCTGATCTTAAAAGCTTCATTGAAGGTTGTAACAGAACCCATGAGCACCACACCTGAAACAAATACCTTTTTGATATTCCAAGAGTACGACTTAATCAAATTAGAAATGCTCTACAAATCAAGGGACCCAGAATGTGGAATGACCTTCCCAATCATGTTAAAGTCCGTACCTCTCTCAACCAGTTTAAGATAAAAACTAAGCACTACCTAAGTAACTCCCTGTAACCTACCTTACCACTATAATGTCAACCCATGTCTGTTATTTTTAAACAATGCTGTTTGTCGACCAAATTGTATTTGTGCTGTGTTTCTGCCATGTTCCCCCCTTTTTTATTTTTATATTTTCTCAACACATTTTATACTTTAATCTCAATTAGTATTATGTTTTAGTCTTTAGTGTTTTTCCTGCCCGAAACGCTTTGCGTAATAGTGGCTTTAGGCATTGTATATACTAGCTCTATCTATAAATTCATCAATATTTGTATCGCCCCTTGTATGTATGTACTTTACCTGAATAAACATTTGAATTTGAATTTGAATTTGAATTAATTCATTCTGTTTCTCACCTGGAAAGGGGTGTCTCCATTCACTATGTCAATGACCCTTCAGTATCTTTAACATAGCATTTTAATCATAACCAATCATTTATGTAACTGTGTAAGCTTGTATAATAAAATGAATAATAATAATAAAAAGGGGTGGTAAGAAAAGCAAGTACTGATGCGTATTTATAAATGACAAGTTAAATGACAAGCTTGAAGCTGAGTAAGAAAATGTATACATTTTAGAATGCAATTAGAAAATCTCACCAAACAAAATTCAGGTAAAATTTGAATGAATTTCCTATTTTTTTATGATCTTACCGGGTGTGTGTGGTGGTATAGAGGCAGAGGGCAAGACAAGGCCAGCTAGGTGGGTTCGGACAGTTCTTAAATGTCGACAGTGGGCCAGCCAGCCATAGAATGCCCTGGAGATGATTTGGTGTTTCATTGTGGCACAGAGAAGCTCAAGCGAGTCACTGAAATCATAGCAAAGTTTACACATCAAATACACATTTAGCCCCCTCTAGCAGTATATAATATGGTCATCGAAAGCCACCCAAATCTTTGCTTCAAGAAAAAGAAAGTGGTCATCCAGTTATACAAATCCCTTTTGTACCACAAGACTAGCAACTGCAAAGAAGACATGAGAGAGCTGATCTCATTGAGATCTTTAAAATACTGTACAAATTAAAATATGTTAATCCAGACCACTTTTTAAAAAAAGGTCCAACATGGCTTAGGCAAGGGACAACAGTCTCAAGCTGAAGAGACCACAATATAGGACAAAGCACAGGAGATGCTTTCACCCAAAGAGTAATAAATTCATGGGATCTCTTATCCAATGAAGATGTAAATAATGACAGTGCTTTAGGGAGTGTAGTTTAAAATACAGCTGGAAAAACATCCTCAGGAAAAATTGGGAAGCTTTCACAAGTGATTGACTTCCTGTCCCCATTGAGGCTTCTATAGATGATGACCTTCAGGTAAATTCAGATAAATTTGAAAGCTTGTTCTCACCTGGCTCACATATTTAAGTTTTCCTTGCAAGGAACTTTATTTTTTTCCTTGCTGTAAATGGAAGTCACCTCACTGGGGAATCAAGTTTTGGTTATGGGTTTTTCTGCTGCTGTTAAAGCCTCTGAGGGGTTTGCTCAAGTTGTTTGATCTCTCCTCCATGATGCAGCTGCAGATTTCATTGCTATTCATCTGGCCTGCAGGTAAGTGGTGTTTGACAAAGATGAATTCTTGAAACCTGCAACTTCAAGAACAAGAGGGCATAGATTCAAGCTAAGGAAGCAAAGATGCCAAAAATATATTAGAAAGTCTCTTTAGCAAACTCAGTAGTAGATGGTTGGAACAAGTTAGGTGAGAAGGTGGTGTATGTCAAAACCAACAATTGTTTCAAAGCATCATATAACAAAGAGTACCAGGAAGACAGGACACCACGAGTGTAGCTTTCATCCCGTAACTACACTTAGGTAATTACACACAATGATAGCAAAACGTTACAGAAATTGTTCATGCCCTTTGTGAGACCAAAACTGGAATATACATCAGTAGTATGGTGCCTGCATTTCAAGATATGGGCATCAATAAACTGGAAAAAGTGTAAAAACCTGCAACTAAATGGCTTCCAGAACTGAGAAACAAGAGCTATGAGGAGAGGCTAGAGGTGTTAAATATACCAAAGATAGAAGAAAAAGTGGAATATGATCAATACGTACAAAAAGTAATCGGAATTGACAAAATTGACAAAGAATTTTTTTTTGAAAACAGCAACTTTAAGAATACAACCCGTCCTCGACCCAAGTCCATTCCATCCAGTGGTCGACCCCAAAGATGCATGCATCAATTTTAACATGCTGTTCATTCAAAACAGGAATTTTCTTAAATATAAATTATTATTGTAATATATTAGCATATTGTGCATATATAGGCATAGGTTAGGTTAGGTATTTAGGTTCTGTTGGCGATTATTTGAATTTGTGGTATGTAGGTGAAGCATTCTGTGGGTCAGAAAAATTCGTCAGTAAAGGACTTGTTCTGGAAGTGTTCAAACGTCATCAGTTGTGACTCGTGTGTAAACCGTTTTTCAGTCATAAATAGGGGGGTTGGAGGGTGCATGGAATCACTTTTGGGTCTTTGTTTGGAGGACGGGCTGAAGAACAAGAGGTCATAGATTCAAACTAAGGAAACAAAAGTGCAGAAAAAAACATTAGAAAGTTCACTTTTGCAAACTGAGAGGTAGAGGTTTGGAACAGTTAAGTGAGAAGGTGGTGGATGTCAAAACTGTCAGTAGTTTCACTGCTTCATATGACGAAGAGTACTGGGAAGACGGGACACTATGAGCTTAGCTCTCATCCTATAACTATACTTAGGAAATTACACTTGGGTAATTGTGTAACTTGTCCCCTTATGTTCAACTCATGTTAAATTGGATTACGTCAGTCAATTTTTCTAGGGACCTCCACTCCGGCTCCCTGAACACCACAGGGGCCAACTCTAGTGGTTCCATCTGATCAATATGCCATGAATGCTTCACATGGGCAAACCTATCCCATAAAGCAGCAGTTGCCTGTAAAGCCTCCAACTAGGAGACAGAGACCTAGCGAGAACACATCTCACAGGACTCAGGGTCATAAGACATCACCAACCTAACAAGCAGCATGGTGGGGGGCAGAAAGAATGATCATCGTCAGGTTGCAAAGATGATGAACACCCTTCAAACTTGCAAAACATGAGACCATGCTCACAAGACCACTCCATAAGGACCACAACATCGACCGGAGGGGATTCCCAGGGCCTGAAGGAAAACCAAGTGGGTACCCTAGGCACTGGGGCTGCTTACCAAATGAATAGCTATTAATCATAGTCTAAATACTCAGCTATGGGAGGCGACCACAGTGTTCCATATAAACAAGTACACGAGCTCCCGGTGTGCCCCAACACAACCAAAGAATGTCCCTAACCAAGGGTCCAACAGAGGAACAAGACCCCTGAGCAGCCAAAGGCGAGTTTCCCACCCCGGTGGCTGGTCTCACAGAGATGAACCTCAAATACACCAGAGAAGGTTACTCTGGATATGCAAGGGTAGTGTTAATGGGCACACAGGGAAGAACATTCTGAGTACTGTACATGCAACCTGAAATGCACAAAGAGCTAAGCCAACACAGCAAGTCAGAATCAAAACATGCAAGTGAAGCTACATTATAGTTGGAAACAATACAACAAAGCAAATGGCCCCCACAGGACAAGGAAGTCTAAAGAACGCCAGCCCTTAGCTTGAAGCTTTGGGGCTCGGCCTTGAGCTGGCATAACCAGAAGCACTACAAGTTGCTGTGGTGATACCAACATTAGGAACAGAACTGACTCGACGAGCTGGGGTCGAGCAGCTTGGTGATGGAAATTAGTACTAATGAGCTGCAAGTTCATTTCAGTGAATCCCTTGTTCCATGTGACTCCTCTGTGGTAGTTATTTGGTGGTTTCTTAAGGCTTCGTTTTCTGTAAACCTGTTCTGTCAACTGTTCTCTGCGCCTCTGTGAGGGGGCTAGTTTCTGGCCCTGGTCTCCAGTAGGCCAAACAAAACTAATCGTGGCTGATGTGACCTTTTAGTATGAAGAAGTCTCAGGAAGATAGCTTCAGGAAACCACATGGGGCTCTCTCCAGAAAAAAATATATAATAAACATGACAAAACTCTAAGACATTAGTATTGGTGAAACCCAATTAGTACTAGATAAGTTTTTATCAAAGTTGATCAAGAAACGCATCTCTAGGTTGGCATATCTAAGAATACCAACAGAGTTGTGTAATCAATACAGAAGGTGCAGTGATTATAGGTTAATGCAATGAAAACTATACAGAGAGAATAGCTGATGTAACAAACATAGGTTGTTGTGAGGAAGAACAGGAAGATGCGGTAGTAATCTGTGGGTGGTGTTGTAGTTCAGTTGTTTTGTAATTACCTAAGTATAGTTACAGGATGATAGCTACACTCATGGTGTTCTGTCTTCCCAGCACTCTTTTTCATATAACAATTAGGAAACACTGATGGTTTTGGTTTCCACCACCTCACTGTGATGGTATTGTCATGTGGTAGCGGTGATGTGGTTTACCTGAAACCTAAGGCCACCATCTTTAGTGGCTTTGACAGGGACAGGAACCCAGTAGCTTATCATAGGTCTTCCCATTATTCCTGACGATTTTTTTCAGTTGTATTTTAAACTGGAGCACCATCTTGGCATTTATGGTTATAGTGGACAGATTCCATGAATTTATTGTCTTATAGGTGAAAATCTGTTGTCTTTCCTTCATTGTGGCTTGATGAGCTTGAAGCTGTTACCCCTTGTGGTGTAGTACTGTAATGTGATAATAGTGCTGTGATGAAGTGGCGATGTGGTAGTGGTATGGGGTTTTTATATGGGTATTGAGGTAGTGGTGTGGGGAAAGTCTTATAATGGTCTTGTGGTAGTGATGTTGAAGTATAATACTGGTCATGTACTCACCTAGTTGTGCTTGCAGGGGTTGAGCTCAGGCTCTTTGGTCCCGAACTCTGGCTCTCTGTGTTTACCTATAAGTGCTTACCTATTAGTAACTATTGTGGGCATGAGATCTAGCTTCTTATAATTCATTATAAAAATTCATTCATAATTTATAATTATACCCTTCATCCAAGCCATTTATACCTGGTATGCTAATTACCTCTCTTAACATTAACATTTTTAGTATACTTTTTCTTAAGGTTTTGGATAGAATTGATTTCAACAACCTCTTCCTTTAATACATTCCATTTGCTGACCACTTGTACAGGGAACAAAAACTTCCTTACAACCCTGACTAAACTGCCTGTCCAGCTTCCACTGATATCACCTTGTTCTGCATCTTTTTAATTTAAATATGCTTCCACTTTCTTTATTCCCCCCTCAAGGTTTATATATTATCATATTTTTATCCCCTCTGTCTTCTCTTCTCTAAGGTGGTGAGGGTGAGTTCTCTCAATCTGTACCCATAGCTGAGACCTCTCAATTCTGGTATTAATCTACAGTATTTGCAAGCCTCTGAACTTTCTCAAGTTTCTGTTTATATGTCACAAGATGTGGGTTTCATGTTGGTGCTGTATACAGTACTCAAGTAATGGTCTCACATGGCAGTGTGTATGGGCTTGAAAGCCTCCTTGAATGGTAGTGTTGTGGTGATATGATGGTAGGGTAGTGTTGTGATGGCATGTCCTCCTTCCACAAACAATAAAAGAAAGGGGCTCTTCCTCGTATCATCAAGTATGAGTCATGAAAGTTTCAAGCTATTATGCAATGGCCATTCTCTACATCTTGTGCAGACCCAGAAAAATTAGGAGGAAATATTCTTATTTACAAAAACTAAAACATATTTCTATGGTGGATACATAACTAATGAAAGGTAGTGGTAATACTGGACAAAAACAATTTTATTAGATCCAAACCTGTTCTTTTCATTTGTGGTCATTCGGGTTCCTCCCTCACTGCCCTGTTCAGCAGGCGGTAGTGGAATATCCATACTTGGATTTGGAGTTGGAGGTGGTGGCATGACCTCACTCATGGAGTCTCCAAGACTGAGTGACTTGGATGAGGAGGTGGAGGACGAGTGTGATGAGAGCTTGGGAACACGAGGCAGCCAACCAGAACCACCACGCAGCAGGGGTGACATCAGCTCCAAGTGGGCTTTTTGATGGAAGTTATTGCAGCATACACAGGAATCACCAGACACCAGGTCAATTTGTAAAAGAAAAATAGTAACTGGTTAATTAAATTGTTTTCCTATTTCCATCACATTCCACATAACAACAACATTAAATTGCATTTGTAATATTATACTCCAGTTAATCTTTTCTAGGTCACTTTAATTTGTTTTGTTGGGGACAGGAAGCCTGTATGTATGTATGTATGTATCTATGTATATTATATATATATATATATATATATATATATATATATATATATATATATATATATATATATATATATATATATATATATATATATATATATATATATATATATATATATATATATATATATATATATATATATATATATATATATATATATATATATATATATATATATATATATATATATATATATATATATATATATTATATATATATATTTATATATATATTTATATACACACATGAACTTGCCTAAACACGCAAGTGAGGTAAACACAACTTAGACACAACCCTGCAGGTAGACTCGAACCCAGAGAGCACAGTTGTTCACACAACTGGCATAACTAGTATGCACTAACTGACTACACCAACTCAGATCCTTCAAAAGGAATGGAAATTTCGGAGTATTTCCCCAACATCTTCACTCCCCGAGGGCACCAGAGAGGTGTACGGTCACATTACGTTTTTCATCAAACCACTGCTTTATCAGATAAATACAACGTAATGTGACCGTACACCTCTCTTGTGCCCTCTTTTATAATAATATATAATGTGTATGTGTGTGTTTTGCTTGTCATGGTTCATCAATTCAGGGATGGGCAAAGTGCAGCTTGGTGGGATACTGTACTGGTATACATTTTGTTTTCATCAAATCCACCCCATCTGACTTCAGCATTTTCCCTGTTTCATTCACGGTCAGTACCACTTTCCAGTGTGTGTTCCGTCTCTCATGTGTGAGCTATGACCATGTTCAAAGCATTGTCTTGGCAGACTGCGTATGTTGCGGATATCAAGCTTTGGGCGTGTGCACTTAAATATCAGTAACTCTCAGCCTATGTAGAAGCTTCATAGAATTCAATTTCAAGAGGCAGATTTAGCTCTTTGGTTCAATTGAGTTGCAAGTCAAGTCCTCAGGAGTAAAAGGGCTCTGCTAAACCCTGCTTCAAATTGCTTCAGCTAATGATCTTGAGCTTATCTTGAGATGATTTCGGGACTTAGCGTCCCCGCGGCCCGGTCCTCGACCAGGCCTTATTTTTGTTACACACCCCCCGAGAAGCAGCCTGTAGCAGCTGTCTAACTCCCAGGTACCTATTTACTGATAGGTAACAGGGGCATCAGGGTGAAAAAAACACTTTGTCCATTTGTCTCCGCCTCCACCGGGGATTGAACCCAGAGCCTCAAGACTACGAATCCGAAGTGCTGTCCACCCAGCTGTCAGGCGCCCTGCGATACGCCCTATGATGCAGGCAATTGTCTCACCTCCCCCCCCCCTCTCTGCTTGCTGTGAATCCCAAGTGATTACAGATCTTGCTCACACTTGCATGAGATGGAGGAGTGTGGAGACTGGTTCTTTGTCTGGACTGGAGGGATTTCCTTTCATGACTCTGATGCTGTTGTGGTGGATGCTTTGTATCTATGTATGTAGCACTAGTATATATGATCCAACAATAACATCAGAAAAGATCCCTCTTGTGCTGATACAGAATGTTACCCTGCCATGATAATGAAGATCTTGTCTAATGGAACCCTTCAGTGATCTTGCCTTAAAGACCATCTAAGTATCTTTCTCAGAAAAGACCTTTAAATATTCACCGAAATCCAGATTTTAAGCATGGTGACTTACAGAGACGATCAGGTTTAATAGCCGTGATGATCCTGAACACATAATCTGTGGCTTCATCTTCCTCATTGTCTGCACCCCCATGATGCTGTCTGTTGGCCAGTGCCCGGGCTTTTCTCCTCAGCTTGGGAAAAACTTTACCTAAAAAAATAAAAGAGCAAAAGTTGTGGCATAATTTTTCCTGGGCTATGAAGATTTACTCCTTAACCCTGTAATGAATAGAAAGCAATTTAACTTTTAATAAGATTGCTAAATATTACAAGTAAATTATTGAACCAAAATACCTTTGCCACGTTGAGACCAGAGAGGAGGGTCTAGGTGGCCATGTGGAAGAAGTCCATTTTCTAGACAGGAGAGGAAGGCAAGAAGGTGGCCACCACGGGGAAAGTGGATAGGTGGGTACTGAGTTCCATCCTGCCCAACTAAAACAATAGTGCCCCCAGAGTCACCTGAAAACCCATATGCCATATCATTTCAAATTGAAGTAACTTATGATTAAAATCAAAGTAAAACTAATAAAATAGACCAACAATAGCATTGATATACAACATATATTCTTTTGCCAATATACATACCTTGCTGATGGCAGTGGACGTAGACAATTTCCTCCACACGCACATTAAGTGCATACTCCCAGTAGATGCTGCAAGGGAGCCAATAAGAGATGAGTTTTTTAAATCTCAAGTTACTATTAATACATACACTATCATACTTTCAGTAATAACTAAAATCTATACTGTACATACTGTGAAAAAGATGAAGATATAAATCCATATATTTAAATTATAGTTATTAAATTATTAGCACTACGGTATTTTTAAATTAAGAACCCATAAACCACAAGAGAAAAAGAAAAAATCACAAATGCACATTCTTAACCATGATTTTTAAGTTATAGTGCAGTTATATACTTCACTAATTTTTTTTAAAGTTCTATAATTCCATGGTTTATAATTTAATCATATATCAGGGCATAAGAACAGTCAGTTGAAATATTTAAAAGTTAAACTAAATACTCATACATCATTATTTGTTATATTTAGATGCATAAGCTATTTGAGGATATTATTCTTATTGTCTCACTTCAAACATTACCACACAAATCTTGGTCCAGTTCCTTTAACAACATGCAATTCAAAGCACAAAATAAAGAGTTAACAGTGACAAAATGTCTTTACACTTATTAATTGGACCTTTAAGCATTTTTGCACTCAAACACTGTGTAATTACCTAAGTGTAGCTACAGGATGAGAGCTACGCTCGTGGTGTCCCGTAGTTCAGTACATTTTAGTAAGTAAATCTTTAGCATTACCATATTTAATGAGGGGCTGTACCAATTTATGCACACATTGTGTACACACTATGCACAGTGACTAATTATTCACGCAATGGATATGTACACAGTAACTGACTGTGCACTCACTGACAACTGTGAAGACACTGCACTCTGACTTGGCACACACAAACTGTGCACACGCTGACTGACAGTGTACACATTACAGATAGAATTAATTTAAAGGCTTGCACCATCATTTTGATCATGTACAGCCATTAACTCATACAACAGATAATATACCTTCAAGAACTTAAGAAAACATCATGCAACAGGTGAAACACAAACAACAACAACAATTAGGTGAGTAAGGAATGTGATAAAATAAATAATGAAGATAAGCCACATGATGGAAGATGTGAGGAGACAAGCTAATGAAACAGTGAGAAAATAACATGAGTTAACAAAATCTGCTAGTGAAGTAGAGAAGTTAGTTATGGCTGGAGGGAAGGGAAGACATAAGTTAATGAAGCATAGGAGGAGAAAAGGAGGGAAAAGTGAGGAGACTAAGTTAGTAAACATAGAAGGAACACAGAGAGAAGTGCTGTGAGGAGACAAAATCTACTAGTAAAGGAGAAAGTTGATATGAAAGACAATAAGAGAAACTCAGAGTGAAGTGGCAGTGGGATGGGGGGCTAACAGAGAACAGAGTTCATAAGGACAGAGACCCTCTATGGTGTACTCTTCTTTCCACAGTGCAGCACCCAAACATCACAATCTTTGGTATAGACAAATGGACTGTATTTTGAAGCACACAGTCCCCAGAATTCCACTTGTATACTGCATTAGTACATTTCAGTACGTCAGAGGAGGCAGGTATGTTATTTTTAATAATAACAGATGCTGTATAATGGTTATAATAAATGACGCTGAATCCGCATGGTTTACAGTTCCAATACAGAATATTGACCCTCAATCATTCCTGGTAAGAGAGTTGACTTTGTTCTGGGGTGATTTTTATTGCACTCTGTTGCACTTTCTCCAAAGCAGATATACAGTATCCTTTTGCAGGTGGAGTCTCCATGCTTGGGTACATTAGTCTAGATGGGGGAGTACCAGTGACTTGTACAGTTGAATAACCATACACACATGCGCAGAGAAAGAGAAAATAGATAGTATGCAGACAGTTAGACATCAATACATATGTACTGTAGTTAGACATATAGAAAGAGAAAATGAGAGAATAACCAAGAGATACAGTGGAATCTCGATTAACGAATTTAATCCGTTCCGGCACCGAGCTCGTCATGTGAAATGCTCGTCTTTCGAAACAAATTTCCCCATTTAAAATAATAGAAATAAAATTAATCTGTTCTACCGCCGAAAAACATCAATATGATGTTAAATATATTAATAAACATCAATAGATTTGTTAAATAATGGAGCAGTCTACCTGACATACAATGAACAAACCTTTATGACATTTTTCTTTTTCAAATTTGTTAAATTTTTTTTCATTTTTTTATTTTTTCATTTTTTTAAGAAAGGGAGCAGTTTATCTGACATACACTGAACAAACCTTTATGACATTTTTTCTTTTTTTTTTTTAAACTTTGTTCAATTTTTTTTATTTTTTTATTTTTTTTATAGAAAAATGTTCATTCAGTGTATGCCAGATAGGCTGCTACATTTTGTATAAAAAAAATAAATAAATAAATAAAAAAATTAAACAAATTTGAAAAAGGTAAAATGTCATAAAGGTTTGTTCAGTGTTTGTCAGGTGGGATGCTCCATGATGAGATTTTTTCTATTTTTCATATTTGTTCAATTTGGTTTGTATTTTTCATTTTTTTATTAATAGTGGAGCAGCCTACCTGGCACACACTGAACGAACCTTTTTGACATTTGTTCTTTTTTTTTCAAATTTTTTATATTTTTTTTTTCTAATTTTGTCTAAAAAACGAAAATCAATGCTTTGCAACATTACAGCAGTCACCTCCTTTACATCCTAGCATCATTAGCACCTTTAAAACAAAAAAAAATTAATTATTTGCATCGTCGAAGGTGTCCAAGAATTTGCGAGAACCAGCGGGAACGCTAGGAAGCATCATGTGATTTTTTCATTAATCAAGTGAAAGCTCGTCAATCAAGACAAATTTTCGCTGAGTTGCGCGCTCGTTATTCAAAATGCTCATAGATTGAGGTGCTCGTCACTCGAGCTTCCACTGTATAATAATGAAAAGACAAAATTATCTGCATGAAAATAGGAACAGTGAAAAGTAAAATCAAATGAGTAAATATTTTGTACAATATATGGTATGAAAAAATAAAAAATAGTTATTATATTATCACACCCTGAGTTGTGAGCCCCAGCACCACTACCAAATACCACCAAGCTCAAACCACACTAGCACTAGAGAAGTACTGTACTATCATCAATACTCCAGTATCATGGATGGCATCATTACCCTCAAATACCACCACCACCATCTCGGCAAAGGAACCACCACAACTCACGACAGTGGGGTCTCAGAGTAGCGCCGTAAGAAAGATGGCCTCCTTGGTCTCGAATGAAGTTCTGATAGACATGGGAGACTGTGGCGTCTGCCTGGGTACCTTCAAAACCACCAGCAGATATTACCTCAAATGACTTACAACAATTCACCTTGTGACTTTCCTATGGAAGCTATGTGTATGTATGTATATATACATATACATACATATACATACATACATACATACATACATACATACATACATACATACATACATACATACATACATACATATATACACATATGTACATACATACATACATTATGTGATACTGTAGTACACATGCAATGTTGATATTGTGTCCTAATGTAAAATGTTTGAATTTTATCAGAATTTTAAATACATATTTTAAGTAAATAATTAGTATCAACTGTGCTAAAAATGTAAATACAATACTTTCTATACTAAGCAGGTATTGAATGTGAATTTATAATATATTAAGAAGGAATTCAGTGGATTTACACAAAAATACAAAACATAAGAATATATTAAGTTTTATTCATACAGAGTACTAGAGATAAAAGCACATCTGCTCCACCCATACTCAAATGTATACCCTATGCACATTTATACACTGTAAGAGCCATCTTTGTGTTAATAGTATTGTGCTGGTTATAACAAAAATGCTGGAAATGTACATAACGTGCATCAAGCCTGCAGAAGAAAGAGAGCCACACTAAGTAGTAAATCCAGTGTTCAGTGTAACAAAATGCCTCTTTCTGGTGGGTCCCAGTGGTGGATCTTCAAGCTATCTGCCCAGAAACCTCTAAGTCGAAGCACCCCATCAGACCCTTTCAGTCATGACTGCATACTGGGAACCAGGATCAGACTCTGGCCACCTCTAAATAGAGAGGACTCTAGGGATACTAGATTCAAAAGGAAAAACCATCAGAAAGAGTGCCCCCAAAACTAGAAGATGCTATCTAGGGGTAAAGCACATGTCTGGCATTTACCAGGATGCTGGTTCAAATACCTCTACTTCTCCAAAGACTTTTTTCATTGATATTTTATATCATTGTTAGTCTGCATGATATAATCTACACAGCCCTTGACTAAAATAAGTTCCCCTGGATAAAATAAGTTTCCAATTGTCCTTTATACTGACCTTAGAAAGGCCTTATAGTAAATCATAACTATTTCCACCCCTGTTCTTTGTAACCAAATGTTTTCCCAATCATTCCTCAATTTTTCCACCTGCCAGCATGCACCCTTATTGCTCCCTTTCCTTAAATATATTCCTATATCTCTATCATATAACTGTTTAAACACACACACCCCACCAAAAACAGATTCCAATAAATTGGTAAATGCAACAACCTCAGCCCTAGGTGAACACCATTCCTGCACACACATCAATCTTTCCATAGAAGTGTTCCCAGATGGAATTCTGTTAAATACTTGTATAGTACTGTAATTTGTCTGGTCATTCAAAAGTCTTACACATTTAAAAGCCCATTAAATATCCAAAAAATTTGTAAGTTCCCATCCTCCAGTGAGAGTTCCCAGGAAGGAGTGATCATCAGATATACAGTCATTATCAATTGGTTAGAATGTATTTAGTTTGCTATAAGTTATCATATTCACTGTGATATCGTAAATCCAAGAGTGTTGTGTTGAAATAAATTTTTACTTGTGTAAGGGCAAAAAGTGTATACAAATTCTGTGAAGAAAAAATGCTTTAACACACAAAGAAAAAATGCATTAACACACACAGAAACAAACTTAGTACTGTATCACAATATAAGGAAGCCACCCTCTAACCAGTTTGAAAACCCCCAATATTGATTGTGAAGAGAGTTGATCACTTACATAAAAAGATAATAAACTTGACAAGCTAAATAGTGATACCAACCAACATAATGCTGGAATGCTTATCATATATATTTTATTACATATTATAAAAATACCATTTGCATTACATTTTATATATTTTACAAACATAAATTGCCTATTCATTTGTGTATTAAAATAAACATAGTAATGATAAATTGCCTCATTATTTTGTTAGGTATATTCTCATTTTTTATTCCTAATCAAGGATACTTTTAAACATTCCCTATATAATTATATGGACTGTTTATGCCTTTACTAGACTGCAGAAGGCTCTTCAGAAGGTACAGTTTACTTATAAAAACTAATAATGCTTATCAAACTCACTCTTCATATTAATTTTGAAACATTAATACTGTAATTTCTAATGAATATTTCACAGTGTGAAAGAACGTTAGAGGCAGTTCTATGATTGCGTAGACAGTATTCAAATTGTCAACAATTGAAGCCAGCTAAAGGATGACTACCACTACAAAAAAACATAATCTAGGATCACTATGTCAGACTACAAAAAATTATGATAATTTGGAGGATCTCACTATCATATGCTACAAAAATGATTCTTGGTGCACGACTAACAAACAAGAACTCAAACTGTGCCACTAAAGGGACCAATCTATCATTCTGACCTTTTTTGAAAGCACAAATCCATATAGAAAGGTCTGCAAAGAATGGTTAACTGTTAGAATTTAGGAGACTATGAAAGGTAGAAGGAATATATAGAAATATGTTAGATAAAGATAGAAGAGACAAAGAAGAGGATTGATGATGATAAACAGAAGACATTTAAAATAGAAGTAAGAACAAGTAATATAAAAATAAATTTAAATACAAGAATAAATGAAAGGAATAAAAAGATTATAATAAAGGTAATCAATGTAAGATACCCATCTCAATTATGCACAATAAAAAGACTTAAAGCTTAATACAAAAGATAGTAAATGTATGAGAATAACACGTACACCAAAGATATTCAAAGCAAAATTTTAATATGTAAAATTTAATTTTTAAAACAAAAAAAGCAATGGATGAAATAGAATATTATTGTAAAATCTTAAAATTAGAACATATAAGATTATGTATTTGTTATGAAAGGCAAAGACATTGCCAATTAGTGTTCAGAGTGTATTTGTGTTGACTTAAGAAACAGGTACAGTATTTAATATGTTACACGATCAAATGACTCCTACTTTTGCTAGCCAAGGCTTACAGTCAGATCCACTTCTCATAAATATACTGATTGGTTATAGCCAAACCTGCTACATTCAACCTTGAGCTTATTTTACAGTCGCAAGCTGCTAGATACTGTACATGAAAATTCACGAACAACTAACCAGATGGAACAAATATCACTATAAAATCTCTACAGACTAATGTAATTAATTATGCCAAATATGATATTTATTCAAAATGAACTGTAAATGAACAGTAAAACTTATTATGCACACAAAACAATTCACATTATATATTGCTAAATTTCATGTTAATTGATTAATAACATTTACTTTACAAGAATCATATCTAATATGATTCAACAGTTTCTATGACAACCACAAAAGTATTAAATATGACTTAGACTGAAGAGGAGTAGGTCATATCACTTTGCTGGTAAATATGATTCAAATTTAGAGAGACTACTTACTGTATATGAAACTAAAAAAATAGTTTTTTTTTTAGTTTTAATCCAAAAAATAAAGAATTTAATCTTTAAATTGCAACACAAAATTTGTAGAAATACCGAATATTATACCATCAATTCCAACAAGACAGAATTAAAAAAATAAGCACAAAAAGCTACCAATGAATTACAGTCATTTTCATTTACAATGTCTAAATTTTTCACTTGACATTACAAGACATGAGAGTCCAAAGAGTATCATCTTACTGACCTTTTATCTTCCGTTGTATCAGGGCAACAACCATTCATCAGGTGATTAGGCGTCCACTTGATGACCAGTCCCTCTGTTGTCTGGTGGAGGGACATATACCCTGGCATGGCCTCCATCTGCTCCTTCTGCATATATATATACAGTTTGTGTATATTATTTCCATTATTTATAAGAAAGTAAGAGCGGGTGTTGTTAGCGATACTTTAGGGTATAGCTTTCAATCTCGTACCTTACGCTGCATCAATTTATACTTATTCTTTTGTTATCATTTAGGTTAACTAATCAAATATTCTCAGGCATCTTGATGACAAGAGTTCAGTATTTACCCTACTATACATACACAATCTGATTTCCTTGTTAAATATTTTCTAAACTTTTGCTTAAATCCATCCTCCTGTTTAGATACAATAGTACTTTTTGTAACTATGTGAACCATCATATATATTTTCATGTAATGGACAATTAGATAGTAGTATTTGGTATTATTCACTTTATAGTCTGGAAAAACTAAAACTAAAAACCAAACTTAAATATTCCTAGGCTTAGTATATCATATACATTTACTATATTAAGCCTCAGATAGTGTGTGCTAGGCCTAGGATGGTTAGCTTAGGTTAAGTTAGATTTTGTTAGCAACAACAAAATTAACAGTCTTTCCCTGTTTGTTCAAATTCAATAGTTCCAAATTCTACTTACTAATTGCCCATTATGTCAGTACTTACCTAGGTGTGCTTGCGTGGGGTTGAGCTCTGGCTCTTTGGCCCCGCCTCTCAATTGTCAATCAACTGATGTACAGGTTCCTGAGCCTATTGGGCTCTATCATATCTACATTTAAAACTGTGTATGGAGTCAGCCTCCACCACATCACAACTTAATGCATTCCATTTGTCAAATACTCTGACACTGAAAAAATTCTTTCTAATGTCTCTGTGGATCATTTGGGCGCTTAAGTTTCCACCTGTGCTCCCTTGTTCGTGTCCTGCCCGTGCTAAAGAATTTAGCACGGGCTTTGTCCACCCTGTTAATTCCCCTGAGAATTTTGTGGGTGGTTATCATGTCTCCCCTTACTCTTCTGTTTTCCAGGGACGTGAGGTTCAGTTCCTTTAGCCTTTCCTCGTAGCTCATACCTCTCAGTTCCGAGTCTGGTGTCATACCTCTGAATCTTCTCTAACTTTGTCTTGTGTTTAAATAGGTATGGACTCCAGGCTGGAGTCTTTCGGTATATGTATGATGGTTCACATTGTTTCAATAAGTAACATCTAAACAGGAGAATGGGCTGGCAGCTTATATGTAACTTACAGGCTGGACGTGGACATTATTTTTGCCATAAAGAAGTGTTGCTTTGTTATTTTGATGTAAACTCTCCACATAGTCCCGGGCATTCAATGGTACATTCCGCTGTGGTACCACACCAGCGTCCTCACTGCTGCCACTCACAGGCTTACGAAACTGAAAATAAGCAGTCTTCAGACTGAGAGAATATAGACTTTATGAAAATAGAATATGAAACTGAATGTACAGTACTATACTGTGCGGTACAAGAAAAATCACTGAACAATATACATTTTATAAACTTCATTGTTCAACTCTGCAGAGTAATACAAGTTTATTTACCTGAATTTATTTAAGGGCTACTAACAGTCTAGTGGCCTTGATGAGGACAGGAAGCCGGTGGCTTGTCAAAGGTCTCTCTGTCCTGATGATTTTTTCAAGCTGGATTTTAAAGTTCAGCAGAGTTTTGGCTTTTACAGTTTTGGTGGGTAGGTAGTTCCATGGGTTTATAACCCTGTGGGTGAAAAAACATCTCTGTTTTCAGTTCTACATTGTGGCTTGTTGAACTTGAAACCATTGCTCCTCGTTTGTTTGGATCAACACGCTCCAAATTGTTCAATATTTTGAGCGTTTTGATGAAATCAACCCTAAAATGTCTGGTTTGCAGTGTTGTTAGCTCTGTGGCCCTCAACCTTTCCTGGTATGAGAGTTGACTTAGTTTTAGAATGCTTTTGTTGCCCGGTGTTGAACTTCCTCCAATGAAGCCATATTTCTAAAGACTAGTTCTCTATGCCTGGATGCAGTAAGCACCAGAGAGTTATACAATGGAATACTCACCTTCATTTCCTTAAAGTCAAAGGTACGCTTGATTATTCCTCGGGGATGGTTAGCTTTTTTTTTTACTGTCACTCTCACTTGTTGCTCTTGTTTTTTATTTATTTATTTATTTATTTATTTATTTATATACAAGAGGGTACAATGGATTTGTAAGAGTACATAACATTGGTGTTCTTACATGCTTGCAAAGCCACTAACATGCATAGTGTTTTGGGCAGGTCATTAACCTAACAGATAAGGTATGTTTATTAAAAGATTCAATGGAACAAAATCTTAGTTCAACATAATAACTACATTGTAAATTTATGGTATTGATTACACTGGTGAAGTTGCATGTCTTAACTACTAATATTAGGGGAGTGGGTAGCAGAATATACAATGAGAGTTTGAAGCAAAGGTAGGAAACTATGAGGATGAAATCAGGTATTTTTTGGTTTTGCTTTTGAATAAGGCATAGGTTGGAAAATTTATTGAAAATTTAATTCATTAAGGAGCAAATTCCATAGACTGGGTCCTTTTATTTGCATGGAGTGTTTTCACAGATTTACCTGATTTGCCTGAACACTAGTGGCCTCAACGAGGACAGAAAGCCAGTGGCTTGTCAAAGGTTCCCCCATTTTCCTTGATAATCTATTTCACTTGGACTTTAAAACTTAACAGAGTTTTGGCATTTACAGCTTTGGCAGATAGGAAGTTCCAAGGTGGGTGAAAAACCCTGTGGGTGAAAAAGTATTTAGTTGGGTGAAAAAGCATTTAGGTTGACTCTGGGGATATCTAAGAGATATTTATTTCTGGTGTGGTGCTCATGGGTTCTATAACATTTATCAAGGAAGTGTTTCAGATCAGGATTAGCATTTAGGAACAAGGTTTTGTACATGTAAATAGCACAAGAGAATGTGTGGAGTGGGTGTATGTTTAGCATGTTTAGGGATTTAAAGAGAGAGGTTGTGTGTTGTCTGAAAACAGAGTCTGTTATACAGTAGTTCTCAGAGCAGATTTTTGCTGGATGATGATGGGCTTGAGGTAATTTGCAGTGGTTGAACCCCTATGCACAGATATAGTATGTACGATAGAGATGGATTAGCGAGTAGTATAATGAGAGGAGAGCCGAGTGGGGAACATAATATCTGATTTTAGAGAGTATACCGACAGTTTTTGAGACTATTTTTTTATCTGTGTGTTGTATGTGGGTGCTGAAGTTTATAAAGACAAAATCTAATTTTTCAGCAAAAGTATTTTAAAGTCCTGCAGAACAATATCAAACTCATAAATCTTCATTCTCTGTATGAAAATTGAATGTTTGGTTATCATAATACTAGTAGTGTAGAAATAAACATCAGTGTTACCTTGATTGTATTCTTACTACATTTCACATATAATATAGTATATACAGTACTCTACCGTTCAATATACAGTATCAAGGGTCACAAGTTTCCTGCAATATAAATATTTAGTATATTCCCCAAATCAATTATGTGAAAGTCTTCATAGGCATAATACTAGAAATGTCACACTGAATATACAGTAACAACACAGATATAGATCTGTAAGTGTAAAATTTGACATAACATTAACACAGGTATGATGATATAAATGACAATGAATCTAACAAAATATCACAAACTTACTTTAGACTTCCCTCCTTGAGTTGCATCCTTCCAGGTGGCAAGAAAAAACAAGGTAAAACATTACTGAAAAGTTTTTATAAACATAACCTCACTAGCAAGACTATGTGTTGTGCACGAAGAAACCACATTACTGTAATATGATGTATAATATCAATGAGAAAATTAGTAGGTGCCATTAGAAGAATTCAAACCTGCACACTGGTTGTAACATACTATTTTGAGCAACAACAGTCAAAGAGTACTCTATTGTGGTCTTTTATGTTTGTTTGATATACAGTAGTCTTAGTTACAGCAGTCGGATGCTGGAAATGTAATAACGTATTATGATAGCTGAGATGAGGATGCTTGTGTGAGACCTAGAGTTGAGAGCAGAGCTTACGCCTAGCTGGGAGTAGAAAGCTTGAAAGAAGGCGAGACCATAGTGCTCGGATGTGGGTGGGATCATTAAGCTCAAATTGATGGTGAGAGCGGTAAGCTTGAGTATTGCCGGAATCAGCTGTCTAGCTGTATTTACAGGTATTTAATACAACTTTTGTAGTGAGGCTATAGCTTCTTGTGAGAGAGCAGAAACTAGACTTGTTGAGTGTTACATAGTTGATGGAATGTCGCTGGCATTGCAGAAGATCCGCATTTGCCACTGAACCACTATTAGAGTTAGACAGCTGACACTACAGTACATTCTTGATGGCTTATATTCCATGCTTCACCTGACTTGGCAAATTGATCATTATTCTGCATGGTGGGAAACATTTTGGTCACCTTTGGCTTTCCTAAGTGATTCGTGGAACATTGGGAGCATGTATTAGTTGTAATTAGAGATGTCATTAATGAAATTACAAATGTCATTAATAGTGAATATGATTTCAAGTGTCTTAGTAATTAGTAGCTGACACATTAGAGTTAATTAATGTGGCATGCTAAAGGGAACTCCCAAGCACACACCTTAAGCCACTGTATCCTGATATGCTACAAAAGTACTGCAATGTACCCTGGGGTTCAACTCAATCATCTAGGATTCCTGAGGCATCCGCCTGATACCAAGTCAGGGTATCACACATTACCCACATACATTCTGGTGTGGTATAGGAGTTCTATCCCCCCAGTGCTTCACTTCAAATGCACAAATAAATGACATTAATGTGATATATCAATTAACATGCATTTATCAATGAGAAAATCTGTAGGAGCCATGAGGAGGATTTAAACCTGCACACTGGGTGCTTCCAAGCACATGCCTCAAAGCACTGAATTATATTATGCTACAAAAGTAATTTACCTGAATTTACCTGAGGGCCACTAACACTAGTGGCTTGACAAGGACAGGAAGCCAGTGGCTTATCGAAGGTTTTCCCTCATTTGCCTTCATAATCTTTTCCAGTTTGATTTTGAAATTCAAGAGTCTTGACATCTAAGGCTTCGATGGGTAGATGGTTCCAAATCGCCTACCATAATGTAACCTGGGATTTAACTGAATCCACTAGGATTCCAAAGGCATCCACCTGATACCAAGTCAGGATTTCACACATTACCTGCATCACACTTCAATGTTTCCTATGGTGGTTAAGGTTAGTAATCATGTAGACTAAATAGTGGTTTGCTTAAGTGCAACTTGGTAATCATTCTGATGCCAAGTAGGGTTTGGAAGGCTTGGAGTGCTTGTGAACGAGCCTTCTGAGGTCACTCTGTGTCTCCATAGCACTAATATTATCCAACAGGAATGTTTGAAAATAATTCACTGTCCTTGTACATGTCCTTGTTGTGCTGCTACAGAACGTCATCCTATACCCTGACTGGAATGATCCTGTCCATAGGGTCCAGGGATGATTTTGTATTCAGGAACATTTGAATGGGATAACTCAGAAATATAGTATTTTAATAAAATAATATCTTCCACTTTCAGAATAATTTAGTTTGGTTGTGTGGTCATCAAGCTATAGAAAAACAACCATGTAGCTATGTTAATTACATAGATTACAATTACACAGATTGTAGATTCATAATGTAATTACATTAATTGCAGAGTTAATTACACAGCTTAAGCTCCATCTGGCTCCAACTTCTAATGTCTTAAAAGTATTTAGAACGCAACATAGTTTCCTACTGCCAGAGACAGTAAGCTTGTTAGGCTTACTAAGGTTTGCCTGGGCCAATGACTGGCCTTTCTTAGGATGCAACTATTAACAGGTGCCAAACTCCTAGGTGAACGGAGGCATCAAGTGTACAGAAATGTGCTAACTAATTGCACTGACTACTGCATTACAAGTGATTATAGTCCAGCTACATTATAGATTAAAAGAGATTAAGCGAAATAGCAAAAGTGAGGTTACTCACATGAAGACCAGGTCTTTAAAACAAAACTTTCATATTATGTGAATAGATTCAATGAAGCAAAAGGCAACATGAAAAGCACATGGAAAACCATCTCTAGTATCCTAGGAACTAAACAACACTCACATAACCAAATAAAACTCTATAAGGATGGGTATACACCGTCAACTGATTTAGAAATGGCAAATGAATTTAATAGCTTCTTTTCATCGGTTGGTGCTAATCTTGCCAGAAAAATCCCACAGACTCAGACACATATTAACACATATCTCTCAGGCAGCTATCCAAACTCTCTTCTCCTTTCACCAGTCAGCCCGGCAGATGTTGTGTCCATCATACACTTTCTAAAAACCAAGGCAGGGAACACCAGTGAAATTCCGTCCATTGTATATAAGAGCGCCTCCCATGCCCTTGCGCCACCCATAGCTCTACTATTCAACACATCTATAGAGTGTCACATTTTCCCTGATATCCTTAAAAAAGCAAGAGTAACGCCAGTCCATAAAGGAGGCAATCCGGCGGACATAAACAATTATAGACCAATATCAAATCTACCCATTCTATCAAAAATATTTGAAAAAATTATCTACAAACAACTCTATTCCTACCTCGTAAAATTTGACATACTCAGCCCCTGCCAGTTTGGCTTCTGGTCCCAAAAGAGTACCAATGATGCAATCATTAGTCTCCTTGACGTAATCTACTCAGCCCTTGACAAAAATGAGTTTCCAATTGGACTCTTCATTGACCTAAGAAAAGCCTTTGATACTGTTAATCACAACTACCTCTTACTTAAACTCCAGCATTATGGAATCCGAGGCCTTGCCCTGGACTATATTCGATCCTATCTTAGTGACAGACACCAATGTGTAACCATCAATGATACAACCTCTTCCACTCTACCAATAACCGTTGGAGTGCCACAGGGCAGCATCTTAGGACCTCTTCTATTTCTTATATATATCAATGATCTGCCTAATGTCTCTAATATTCTTAAACCTATATTGTTTGCTGATGATACTACCCTCATCTATTCAGACCCCAACCCACATACACTAAATAATGTTGTGAATAATGAATTAAAAAAAGTCCACTTATGGATGTCAACTAACAAACTAACACTAAACATAGAAAAGACCTACTACATCTTATTTGGAAGCAAATCATCGAATGCAATTCAGCTACAGATAGACAACATTAACATCAGTAATAAAAATGATGGAAAGTTTCTTGGCCTATTCCTAGACAAGAGACTCAACTTCAGCACCCACATTCAACACATAACTAAGAAAGTCTCTAAAACAGTTGGTATACTCTCCAAAATAAGATATTATGTTCCTAACTCTGCTCTCCTCTCACTATATTATGCACTAATCTATCCCTATCTTAATTATGGTATCTGTGCATGGGGGTCTACCACTGCAAACCACCTTAAGCCCATCATCACCCAGCAAAAATCTGCTATCAGAATAATAACAAACTCTGCTTTCAGACAACACTCAGCTCCCTTGTTTAAATCCCTTAACTTGCTAAATATTAACTCCCTCCACACATTCTCTTGTGTCAACTACATTTACAAAACCCTGTTCTTAAATGCAAACCATGCTCTGAAACTCTCCCTGGACAGATGTAATAGGACCCATTATCACCACACCAGAAATAAATATCTCTTTGATATCCCCAGGGTCAAACTTAATCTGTGTAAACACTCTATGCAAATTAAGGGACCTAGTCTATGGAACTCACTCCCTAGTGAATTGAAAAGCTGTCAAACTTTTGCCTCATTTAAAAACAAAAACAAAAAGTACCTAATTTCATCTTCGTAGTTTCCTACACTGAGCTTTAAATTTGCTCTGTATCTAGTGTTACCCAATCTCCCAATCTTTATGTACTTAATCCAAACAACTTTATCATTGTGTTCATTGCTGTCTTCTTTTATGTGCTAGCCATATGCTGTATTGTGCCTACTAATTTTTGTTAAACTACCATTCAAGCTGTCATTGCAATCAATCTGAGCTACCTATGTGCTTTAATATACCTACAATTTTCTCTCATCTTTTATTTTTTTTCTTGCTATGTAACTGTTATCATTTTTATAAATTTTGCAAGTATTTACCTACTTAAAATTTTCTTAGATTAAGGACCTGCCCGAAACGCTGCGCGTACTAGTGGCTTTACAAGAATGTAATTACTATGCTATGTATCCTCACAATCCCAATGTACCTTCTTGTATATATATAAATAAATAAATAAATAAATAAATAAATAAATAAATAAATAAATAAATAAATAAATAAATAGTGTAGTAAGTGATTATGAAAGCTCAATTATTTCCAAAATGTTTCACATAAAATGTACATAAGTTGGTGATAGGTGTACACACTATATTGGTGTTCTTCCTTTTCACCCTCATCGAGCAAAACATTTACTTTAAGTCCAAATATACAAATTATTACATATATAAATATACTGAGTTAAAGCAGGGAAAGCACTAGAATGGCAACAATTATGCAGTATGATGAACACCTGGCATCCGATATGGGTATGGTGAGAGAGTGGCTATATCCATCAATTTGTCAATGCTAAATACTAAATAATACTCTCATTTCTCATCAGTGAACAATGGAATGTGGTGTCTGTCAGCTATGCATGTCTTCTATCATGTCTCATCATTTCTACTGGTACTGTCTGGTGAGAAAATTTAACCTTCATTGAGCCAGTTTCCCAATGGAGCCAATGGGGCTCCCCATAAAAAACCTGTATTAAATGTAATAAAATGCCAGTTTCTGGGTGAGCCCCCAGAGGCTCCCTGATTTTCTCCCTCTCCCAGGCATGTTTATTTCTCCCTCTCCCAGGCATGTTTAATCATTTTAGAACTAACTGGTGTGGGGCCCGGCTGATCCTGGTCAGCTTCCATCTACCCACAACAAGGAGGGGGTGAAACAAATTAGCAGGCGGTTAGTTTTGCAAAAATTTGGTTGTTAGTTTTCACTGTTCGGAATTCTTTTGGCAATTTCGGGGTTGTGATCTGTTTTGATTTACCTATCTTTCTAGGTGCTTTCCCTAGGTGGTGGCAAAGATGATAACTTTTAAATGTAAAGTGATCATAGGCAAATGCTCCCTGCGCTTCTCTGAGGGGACCACATTCGGCTCGTGATCCCCAGTATGCAAATAGAACTCTGGGACTGATGGCACTAAGTAGTATGGCACTAATCAGTGTATGATAGCTTCAACGAACCTCCGGGGCTCCCCACAGAAAAGACAGTGTTAGTAGGCTACTTACCCAAGAGAGAGCTAAGGATGGTGCCGTAGTCTGGGTCTGCCACCAGTGAATCCTTCTCGTAATATTTGCTGGAGGGCATATACAACATACAGTATTAGGTTTTCAATTGAAACATGAAAAAATACAATTTAAATACTGTATTGTGCAGTCTGTATTAAAGCATAATAATAAATGACAGAGAAATGGTTAAAAATACGAAATAATAATAGTGCTGCTGACCAACATTGCTTCATAAATTATAATACCGTAATTCACTGTGTCCAGGAACAGGCAGCCAGTGTATACACTGGCTGCACAAGATGGTAGAGGCCAAAACTGTCAGTAGTTTCAAAGCATTATATGACAAAGAGTGCTGGGAAGATGGGACACCATGAGCTCTCATCTTGTAACTACACTTGGGTAATTACACTAAAGTAATTATGTTAGGTTTATATCGAGACTGCCTTCTCCCAGGTTCAAATTACTGATCCCCCCCAGAATGCAATCCCACAAGCTGAGTAACTTCTGAGTACCTATTTACTGCTAGGTGAACTATAATAAAGTGAACTGTGGTGTATAATTAGATGATTATAATTAAGTAAATAAATGTTATTAACCCGTGTACTGTGCGGCTGTTTAATGTAACAACTCCATGGTGCGCATAACACAAATTATTCCCTGAAAATTATTTTTTCTTTCTAATATGGTTATAATGCACTCCATGATTACAGGAAACTAAAAAAAAAAAATTATGTGACTACCTTTGGCTGCGATGGAGGGATGATGTTTTGCCATTCATGGGTGTTGAGTGAGTGGTCACAGTCATCACCCTAGACTTTTATAGGGTTTATAAAATTGCATTATGCCTCAGAACATAGTGGTTACCAGTAAAGGTAAGCTTCTCTCCTACCTGGATTTGATCGATCATGCCCTTCTCTGTTGTTAGCCCAAGATCTAGAATGATGTTGCCTCGGGTGGGTTCAGTCACATGTTGTATGGAAAAGGTGTCCTGTACTAGGTAAATAAAACTGCTCTTTCCATTTGCTATGTTAGTTTCTATTGTCTTTTGATTAAAATACCCCATTAATATTAGTGCTGTTGGTGTTATCTGTAGCAGAGCAAGAAAAGATAAAGAATTTAGAAGGTAAAGAGGAAACAGTAACTGCTGATAGTACACTAGTGTAAAAATAAAATAAAATGAGGAAGAAATTAATATAAAAGTGCTAGTAGTTTTTGCAGCCATAAAAGGCTGTATAGTATTATTAATACCCAAGTTTATCTCAAGTTTATCTGATGAATACCAGCTATAATATTAGCTAGCAGTTAAGAGAAGATGTCAGTGGAAAGTTCCCCATTATTTCTCTGGTAAATTCAGGTAAATTTTTGCCTGTTGAATTTTTAACTGTAAGCACTGTCTTTGTATTTATGGCTTTGGTGAGTAAGAACTCCTATGGCATTATTATCCTATAGATGAAAAAATATCTTCTGTTCTGAACCTACATTTGTTGCTTGGTGATCTTGAAACTCTTGCCTGCTGTGTGATTCACATTGAACCTTTTAGAGGTATTGGACTTTTTTTTAGTAATAATGTATTTTGTAGGTGAGGTCTCAATGCTGAATATAGTAGCTCAGGTGGAGGGTACACAAGAGATTTGTACAGGTGAATGACCACTTTACTTACCCTGAAGTCAGAGATGTTTAATTATACATAGAGTATATTTGTCTTTTATGAAGCTTACTACCCAGCCTATTCTCATGAAAAAACATCTGATTTTAAGTTGTTTTGTATAACCATAACCATATTTGCCTGATTTACCTGAGGGCCACTAACCCAAGTTGCCTCAATGAGGACAGGAAGCCAGTGGGTTGTCGAAGGTTCCCTCATTTGCTTTGATGATCTTTTCCAGTCACATTTTAAAACTCAACACAGATTTGGCAGTTGCAGTTTCAGCGGGTATGCAGTTCCATGGGTTAATAACCCTGTATATGAAAAAGCATCTTCTGTTCTTAGTCCTACATTGTGGCTTGAAAACCATTACTCCTTGTTTGTGTTACATCTGACCTTTTGAAGAAAATGTCCAGATCAACTTTGTCAGTATTATAAAAGTTTCAATAAGATCTGCTTGTCATACCTGGTTTGCAGTGTTGTTAGCCCTGTGGCCTTCAAGCGTTCCTGACACAAGAGATAAGGAATGAATGTGATATGAACCTAGACCATACCTAGAGACTATTGAGGATGGGAAAAAGAGCAGAGTATACAAACTGAAGGATTTGCAATTCCATTAAGCACTTCCTTATTGCTGCTGGTACTCCTAGTAATTTTCACAATTTGATGCATTTAATTTTAAGTGGTTACACCAGCAGAACTGCACATAACTCATACACACACAAACATATTTTAGCACAACATCCAAGAGACCTTCCCACTCTTACTTGCTGTTCTGCACCAGGTAGTCGATGATCTTGGCCAAGACCTTCTCAAATAGGGCCACGCGGATCCACAGGTACCTTGGTGGACTGGTACTGCAAGTGGTGCTGGAGCCTGAGTTCTTCTTTACCAAGGGGGGTTTGCCTAAACGGGAGCTGGAGTCTCCACTGCCACTACTGCGTCTGCCAAGGATAAGGCACAATGAAGTTTCACATAAGCTAAGGTAGTTTCCATCTTCAAAGGCTATAAAAAGACAGGAAAGAGTCCTTTTAACATAGTGTTGTTTTAAGTTATTTAAGGTTTTTGGCCAATTGACTGCCTGTATTATTAGGCCACATTCAATGTAATTTCTAATTTGCAGGTGCTACAGTATATAGTAAATACTCAAATCAGGACAAATAATAATACAGTAATAATAATAATAATAATAATAATAATAATAATAATAATAATAATAATTCAGGTAAAAGTACATACATAATGAGTTACATACAGAATGTTGGATTTCTAGATTGAGCTAGTACCTGTATATACTATGATGTTCAACTACAAGGGATACATGGCTGCACCTGGGTCTTTTATTTCTCTTAACCCTCTTCCACTATTCACCTCCCTTCCTTCTCTCTCTCTCTCTCTCTCTCTCTCTCTCTCTCTTCTCATCACTCTCAATCTCCCCTCTCTCTCTCTCTCTCTCTTCTCCTCACTCTCAATCTCCCCTCTCTCTCTCTCTTCTCCACACTCTTAATCTCCCCTCTCTCTCTCTCTTCTCCTCACTCCCAATCTCCCCTCTCCTCTCTCCCAATCTCCCCTCTCTCTCTTCTCCTCTCTCCCAATCTCCCCTCTCTCTCTTCTCCTCTCTCCCAATCTCCCCTCTCTCTCTTCTCCTCTCTCCCAATCTCCCCTCTCTCTCTTCTCCTCACTCCCAATCTCCCCTTTCTAGATAAGATGTTTATTCAGGTAAGCTTATTCAGGGAGGCCTGGTCGACGACCGGGCCGCGGGGACACTAAGCCCCGGAAGCACCTCAAGGTAGCCTCAAGGTAAGCTAGGTCCATGCATTGAAAATGAGTTACTGAAACTGGATAATAAATCTACGTTTAACACAACCCACATTTCAGATTTGACACCACTTGCATGGGAAGACTGGGTTAGATTCTGTAGCAACTACTGTATATTAATAAGCTAATGAGAATATGGATCAAGTATATTACTTATGTGCAGGTAATGAGATGGGTCTGTTAATTTTACATAATCTATTTCTAAGTGTGTTCCACATTCCTAGAAGTCCTACATTAATTCTAGATCCACTAATTATAATTCCCAAATGTACAACTAATTACAGTTACTACCTCTTCCCAGCGTGCTAGATGCTGGTCAGTTTGGCAAGGTGAGGTTTGGCAATAGCAGTCTTTCGGGCTATACATTCCAGTGCCACCTCTCGGATGGCTTAATCTTCACCAATCAATCAATCAATCAATCATTGTCAGGGTCAGTCTAAACTCTTATAGTAATTCAGTACAGACAATTGAGAGATACCACACATCTTCAACATTTATTAGCAACAATGTAACTCTCGAGTCCAGATCCTAAACCTCACAAGACACTTCAGCCTCGACTCAGAGCACACAGCGAGCGCTCCCACGCTCCGGCCGCATTCGAGGTCTTCGACTCCGCCCACATTCAGAGGTCCACGTTCTACGCGCTCAGCCGGCATGCGAACTCTCTAACCCCCCCCCCCCCCCCCCGCCTCACTCAAGCTCTGTGCCCTGCTCCAGGCTTCGTCTCGGCTACTACTACACTTCACTACATAGCCAACAAACCGACTGCTGTAACCAAGACTATACAATATAAAAATACAACTAAACTCTTTTACATTACAATGGTAACCAACAGTCATCAAAGAGTATGGTCACCCGCGATGAGCTCCCCTAACACGGTAACCAACAGAGTCATCAAAGAGCATGGTCATCCGCGATGAGCTCCCCTATCCCGGTAACCAACAGTCATCAATGAGTATGGTCACCCGCGATGAGTTGCCATATAGAGTTGTTTATTTTGCTCTTGTGATCAAGTGTAGCCCATAATGAACGTCATCATGGCTTCACGTTCAGGTCACGCGATGCCTGCGTATTGCCTCAAGGCAATATGCCCGTTCACACAATGTTTATTAACGCCCTTTCTTGCTCAGTTTAAACAACTCTTCCCTCCCTCTCCTCTACAATATCATTGAAGCAGTTATTATTTTCAAGTTATAGAATTACGCTACCGCTTGGGTTTATTTCTAAGCCTAAACAAGAGAACTAAGAACCAGAACTGTTTAGGTTTATTTCTAAACCTAAACGATAGGTTTATTTTTTGGCGAGAGAAAGCCATATAGAAATATAAGCTTTATAATACATACGAATATACCACTGTGCTTAGTCTATTTTATTCTTTGTCTTTGTATATTATTTGCATCTTTTTAGTTACCTCAATTTACCTGAAGGCCACTAACACTCTAGTGGCCTCGATGAGGACGTTTAGTTTCGTTCATTTATTATGCACCCCATACCCATTTTGTGGGCGGTAGTGGAAAGGGTTACAAATGGGGACGGAAAGCCGGAGGCTTGTCAAAGGTGATTTTTGTCCTTATAATTTTTATTAAACTGGATTTTAAAGTTCAGAATTTTGGCATTTACGGCTACGGCGGGTAGGCGGTTCCATGGGTATATAACCCTGTGGGTGAAAAAGCATCTCATGTTTCGAGTCCTACACTGGCACTGGCGAGCATGAACCTGTTGCTCCTTGTGTGCGTTACATCTAACCTTTGGATGACGTTGTCCGGATCAACATCCTTCAAACTGTTCAGTATTTTGAACGTTTCGACGAGTTTCTGCCCGAAACGCTGTGCGTGTTAGTGGCTTTGCAACAATGTAAAAATACCAATCTTATGTAATCTCACACACTCATTGTACCTTCTTGTAAATAAAATTATTATTATTATTATTATTATTATTATTATTATTATCCTTCTCATTTTTAGCAGTGTTGTTAGCCCTGTGACCCTCGACCTGTGCTGGTATGAGAGTTGACATAGCTCTGGAATCACTCTTGTTGTCCGGTGTTAAACTTTCTCTAATGAAGCTATATGTCTTTCTGAAGATGAGGTCTCCATGCATGGTTGCAATAATCCAGGTCTCCATGCATGGTTGCAATAATCCAGGTCTCCATGCATGGTTGCAATAATCCAGGTCTCCATGCATGGTTGCAATAATCCAGGTCTCCATGCATGGTTGCAATAATCCAGGTCTCCATGCATGGTTGCAATAATCCAGGTCTCCATGCATGGTTGCAATAATCCAGGTCTCCATGCATGGCTGCAATAATCCAGGTCTCCATGCATGGTTGCAATAATCCAGGCCTCCATGCATGGTTGCAATAATCTACCCCTGAACTACTTCCGGAAATCGTCAAAAAGCATTTGATATACATCTTCCTCACAACAGGCTGGTGTAAAAGACGAAAAAGCAATCAGGAGTAACTGGGAAGATGCTTAATTGAGTAAACTAAACTTGAGTAAACTTAAAATTATCTGTTAGATTAAGGACCTGCCCGAAACGCTGCGCGTACTAGTGGCTTTACAAGATTGTAAATACTATACTATGTATTCTCACAAACCCAATGTACCTTTTTGTATATAAATAAATAAATAAATAAATAAATAAATAAAGGAGTACCTGAAGGCGGGAAAACAAAGTTACAGTCAGAGGTTTCAAGTTGGAAGAATGTAAGAAGTGGAGTCACCCAAGGCTAAGTCCTGGCACCACTAATGGTCCTATATTATGTGAATAACCTGACGGAGAGAGTAGGGTGGTACACGTAATGTTTACAGATGAAGGAAAGCTAATGAGAAATGTAAAAACAGAGGACTGCAGGAAATTACAGGAAGACCTTGACAAAATCCAGTAGGCAAATAAATGGTTGCTAGAGTTCAATTCCTACTCCATCAATTCAATAGTCTTCCATCAAGCATAAGGTAATGAACATGGGTAAGGAAGGAGATCAGCAGGTATCTACACCATAGGGGGAAAGCAAGATAAAAAGATCTGGGAATGGATGTAATTCCAACACTAACAACAAACGCACACATAATTATGGTTACATCACCAGTACACGAAACATTGGCAAACATTAGAATGTCGTTTAGAAACCTAAATTAGAACTTTTTTTCCAAGGTAATCTTCAAAGCCTTTGTTTGATAACTACTGGAATATGCAGCACCGGTTTGGAATCCGCACCTTATGAAGCATCAAACCAAACTAGAACAAGTACAGAAGTTTGCAACAAGATTAATGCCAAATCTAACAGGGTTAAGCTATGAAAATGGGTTAAGAGAACTGGCGCTTGCAACCCTAGAGGAAAGAAACATAAGGGGGACATGATCACATCATACAAGTTACTGAGAGGAATAAACAATGTAGACAAGAACAGCTCCTTAACTTAAAAAACGAGAGGGGTTAAGTGGAAGCTGGATGTGCAAACGAGTCGAAGAAATGTAAGGAAATATTGGTACTCTGTACGGATGGTGAACAAGTGAATTACACTGAAAGAAGTTGTGGAAGTCACATTCATCCATAACTAAGTTCAGATTCGACAAAGAATTCGAACGTCAGAATAGTTAAACTAAGGCAAGACAGGTACACAAAGGCTAGTAGTCGGGGCATAAAGCACTAGACCTCACACCGTCTAAATACCTCCCCCTGGCACCTAGCCACCTATACAGCTTAACTGGCACTCTCAGGCACTTCCTCCCTGCAAATACAACCTCACCTGCCCCCATCTGAAGACTCTATCTCTTGGACGATCTTGGAGACATTGGCTGCGGGTTGGAAGGACTTGGCCAGCTTGTGTATGAGAGCGGTGGTGGAGGAGGTCTTGAAGAGTCCCAGAGTACGCCGCTTCAACCCATGGGAAAGACACGCCTCTACCGCGCCTGCAGGGGAGGACGAGAGAAGGGAAATGTTCACCACCCCCGTTCATTTTTGTTTTTGTACAGTGAGCTGAAGGCGTGTGGGGGGCTGAGGGCGTGTGGGGGGGCTGAAGGCGTGCATGGGGCGGACTGAGAGCGTGGGTGGGATGAGTTGAGGGTGTGGGTGGAGTGAACTAAGGGCATGCGTGAGGTAAGCTGATGGCGGGAGATTGCCCTCAGCTCACTCCACTTAAATGCACGTGAATCTCTGCCTCGGTCGGTTTATGGAGAAAATAAAGGGAAATGGTATAGGTGTAAATTAGGAAGGGTATTCAACACTATATAAAGTATATACCATACAGGGAATAAGCGGTGATAGTTTGATGGTTTCGGAAGGACGAATCTTACACACACACACACACACACACACACACACACACACACACACACACACACACACACACACACACACACACACATACACACACACACACACATATCTTCATCACGTAGACTAGCTTCTCAAATTACCTACGGTTGTTATTCTAGGATGGCGTATCTGGTAGATTGATACCAGCTGCTTCATGCGCTACTGTGGCAGGTCCAGGAGACTTCCAGCTGCTTCATGCGCTACTGTGGCAGGTCCAGGAGACTTCCAGCTGCGTCATGCGCTACTATGGCAGGTCCAGGAGACTACTAGCTGCTTCATGCGCTACTGTGGCAGGTCCAGGAGACTGCTTCATGCGCTACTGTGGCTGGTCCAGGAGACTTCCAGCTGCTTCATGCGCTACTGTGGCTGATCCAGGAGACTTCCAGCTGCTTCATGCGCTACTATGGCTGGTCCAGGAGACTTCCAGCTGCTTCTTGCGCTACTATGGCTGGTCCAGGAGACTTCCAGCTGCTTCATGCGCTACTATGGCTGGTCCAGGAGACTTCCAGCTGCTTCATGCGCTACTATGGCTGGTCCAGGAGACTTCCAGCTGCTTCATGCGCTACTGTGGCTGGTCCAGGAGACTTCCAGCTGCTTCATGCGCTACTATGGCTGGTCCAGGAGACTTCCAGCTGCTTCTTGCGCTACTATGGCTGGTCCAGGAGACTTCCAGCTGCTTCATGCGCTACTATGGCTGGTCCAGGAGACTTCCAACTGCTTCATGCGCTACTGTGGCTGGTCCAGGAGACTACCAGCTTTCGTGTTTTGCTGGTCAATCAATTCTGCGGTTTTCTCGATTTTCGTAAAGTGAGATTATATATATATATATATATATATATATATATATATATATATATATATATATATATATATATATATATATATATATATATATATATATATATATATATATATATATATATTGTTGCGTTTCCCAGATAATTATTCCGCATTTAGACCAAAATGTCTTACTAAGCTTCAAATCCACTGCATTTATGACAGTGTTCAGTTTGCCACTAGCTGCTCTGAAACGCCTACTGAAAGCATGTCTCAACTTTTAGACGTCCGTATAACTGATAGTTCTAGAGTGCTGAAGAGTCTCTGTATATCCGCTGACGACTTCTGACGTTTTCTTGGTGTCATCAACTAAATCAGCAGACGACACCAAGAAGAATAACGCCATTACCTGACGATCCCCTGAGAAATTAAACGGCAAGTTGAGCCCTACAAACCCAGTCTCCAATTTCATGGTTTTAACTTGAGAAGACTGATAAATGGGTAATGGAAACGCAAGAGAAGGACAAACGGGAGAGAGAGAGAGAGAGAGAGAGAGAGAGAGAGAGAGAGAGAGAGAGAGAGAGAGAGAGAGAGAGAGAGAGAGAGAGAGAGAGAGAGAGAGAGAGAGAGAGAATAAGTGTGAGTGTTCCGCAGGAGAGATCAAGTACATATATATAGTGTGTCGTGGTAAGCTCCACTGCTGATCCAGCCCACCACCTCAGCTCATCAGGCTTGCCACACTGCTCATTAAGCCCACCAACAAACTCAGAAGGGAAGGTGAGAGGCTTCCTCCTCCCCTTGTTTCAGCTTAAATATACAAGGGAGAATTCTTGTAGAAAGTGACAAAGAGGCATAAGAAACTCGACAGAAAGTTTTAGGTATTTATATAAGAACCAACGTGGAGACCAGGGTTACTGGATGAAAGACCAGAAGAAACTCTGGATGACACAGTAGTCACTGTAGACATTGTTAAAGTAATTCTAGAGGACCTAGATGTAGCAAAACCATTAGGATCACACTTAACATCCCCAAGGAAAAAGATAGGAGGCATTAAATTATAGATCATTGTCACTGACAAGTATTCCATGTAAAATGCTGGAAAATTAACTCTGGTTGAGAATATCTGGAGTAGATAATCTTCGTAATTAAAGGGCAGCATAGATATAAAAGGGGGAAAATCGTGCTTGACAAACTTAATCAAGTTTTATGACAAGCTTACTAAAATACGTCACGAAAAAGAAGGATGGGTAGACTGCATTTTCCTAGCCTGTCAGAGCGTTTGATGCTATTGCTCACGAAACGATAATGGACAAGACCAAGAAACAAGCTGCGATGACTGGAGAGACACTAAATTAGGTAAGAGGATGCCTGAAGGACAGAAAACAAAGAGTTACAATCAAAGAGGTTTCGAGCTGGAGGACTGTAGCAAAGTAGAGTCTCCCCAAGGCTCGGCCCTGAGACAACTACTGTTCCTAATTATGTGAATGAAAGACAGGTAATGTGGGGACAAAATAATGGGTAAATGTAAATGTAAGGGGGCAATGGATTTAATGTGTGAAAAAGAAATTCAAGTTACTGGATCAAATAAAATAATATAAATGAATATGCACAAGGAAAGATGTAATGCCACACAATTATGGAATATATAATTTCATTATACTTGCAACACAAACAAAAAGAATATACCACATGGAAATTGATCACTCACCCAGACTTAAAAACACGATCAACCAAGCAAGCCTAGTGTGTAATTTATCAGTCCAGAATCTGCATTCAAAGAGTTGATTATATCCTTGGATTGGCTTTAAGCAGTCTGAGAGCAATATATATATATATATATATATATATATATATATATATATATATATATATATATATATATATATATATATATATATATATATATATATATATATATATGAGTTCTTACATTCTTGTACAGCCACGAGCATGCATAACGTTTCGGACAAGTCCTAATCCTAATTTTCACACACATCCCCAGGAAGCAGCCCGAAGCAGCTGTCTAACTCCCAGGTACCTATTTTTACTGCTAGGTGAACAGAGCATCAGGGTGAAAGAAACTCATCTCATAATGCATCAAGAAATTCAACAAAACCTGGTAGATCAGAGGCAAAGTGAAATCTACACTAGTAATTCCATCTATCATCATACTATCATGCAAGAGCCGAAGATACGTGAATTTAGTGACAGCTCTACAGCAAATATTCAAGATATGCAGATGATGAGTCACAATAACGTGGCTGAAAAATGTTGACCAAACCCCACATAAGAAATTGAAGAGACGACGATGTTACTACATTCTCACTATCGACTTGAGAATGGTCCAGGACGGACCGAAACGTCGTCGTCTCTTCAATTTCTAGTGTGTGGTTTGGTCAACATTTTCAATATATGTGTAACGTACGATTATGTTACGTTGTTGGGTAGATTAGATACACAGTGTTTAGTGAGTTTCATATTTATTTAGTAGTCCTGGATACAGCAGTGTCGTAGACGTTGAGACGGAGCTTGGAGCAGAGCAGAGCTGAGTGAGGCCGGAGTCGCGGAGCTCTATGTGGGAGAGCGTTGTAGCTCGATGCCGTCCTAGTCTGCTGCCTGTTCTGTGTCGAAGCTGTAGAGTCTTGGAGAGGATCAGAACTGCCTACGCCGAGTGCTACATTCTTGACTGGAAATTGTACTGTTGTCTATTCTCATATCGCTTCCTTATATTTGGTGACTACACCTCAACTTTCTCTACTAGGATAGGAGGATGTGGGGGGCTCCCTTCATCACATGAAGGGAGCCGGCGTGTGGACCACCTCGCCCTCTACCCGGCTACCTGACAACTGAGTCTTGTGTGGTCTGGCCACTGTACGTGTATACAATTGTCATAAAATGAAAGCAAGTTAATTTCAACAGTTCAAAATAGTTCTAAACAAAATATTGAGTAGATTAAGTACCTTATTTCAACATATTTCTCGATAACATTATTTTCCGCTCAAGTATTGTGAGAGCCCTAGAGTGAGAGAGAGGCTTCACCTGTCACCGCCAGACCTGTGTGTGTGTGTGTAGTCCTGCACGTTACAATACCTGCGCGTTACTACCTCAAGTAACGCACACTCACAGTCACGTGTTTACTGAGAGAAGACAGCGGGCCAGGCGCCTCGCTCTCACTCACACTGGACAACCTCACATTTATTGTTTATTAATTATTACAATTCCTCCTCCTCCTCCTCCTCCTCCGTCAAACTTCTACTCGTACATACATTTCTCTTCGCATACATAAACATCACATCACATCGCATACATAAACATCATAAAAGAAGATTATTTGAATTGTATTTGTAATTGAATGTAAAGATACTAAATAAAATTAATACATACAAATGCCAGTCGTTACACCAGTTAAGACTAACAGTGTTTAGCTTCATGGTTGTACCGCAAGCTCTTGCGTGTGTTGACTGTGATGATCCACTCATACTCACGCACGCACGCACAACACGCACGCACAATCATATACACAGAACCAGATATACACAGACACATACACAATTTTTTTTTAACTAAGACTAGGGTTCAGTATGGTTAGCACTGATGATCCTAAATGAATGCAACAAGTTAACAGTAGTTATCCTACATCAATCCATTTCAAAATCCGGCCCCTAAAAATGTTAGTAAGAGTTTTTGAATTAGTATATACTTTATTAAAAGTCAAATTGCAATCTTAACTGGTACAGGGGAGAGCTGGAGCCATGTGTCACAACCTTCATATGACCAGTTGATTTAATTTCACGAATGTCACTTGTTGAGAACATGG